CACCTAGTGTGAGAGGAAGCTTTTTTCAAAACAATCATGCAAGTGTGGTTCTTTATATTCATAAAAATACCCCTGTGTCATCCTTACCAATCAAATTGGAATTAAGAACAGGCAGAGATTGATCATTCTTCGCCCGACGCTCAACTGTGTTTGTGTGTGTGGACTAAGTCACATGACCATCTGGTCTGATCACTGTCCGTGCTGGTTCTCTGTGGGGGCCAAGCTTACACATCCTACAAGAGGACTAACACCTCTGAAAAACACACATTTACTGTACGTCACTCACACACACACACACACTGTCTCCTCCAGCTGCCACTTTGCTGTATGTGGGAACAAAAGTTACAGTGTGGTCTTACAGCTGCCACAACAGCAGGATTAGCCAAAGTCCAGCAGCAGCCAAACAGGTCTTACAGCAGACGGTCTCATGTGTTCTTCAGGCGTCTGGAGTTTCTCTGCTCCGTGAGCCAACGTTAACACGACACTGTTCACAGGCTCCTACTGGAGCTGAGAATAACATACGGCTGATGAAACAGCCAGAGTGGACAGTACATGTGGATAAAAACTTTGCTTCCTGAGGTGCGTTCAATAAGAAGTTGTGTTCCAGAGACGTTAGTGGCCGTCTGTTGATTTATGTTTGGGATTGACCTGTGAACAGGTGCAGACAGTAAGGAAAAGCATGTCAAACCAGAACAAGCCTGCCCCTATAACTCAGCACTGAAACTGTTTTACATTTACTAATCTCTATTTTATTTATAAAATAATAAAATAAATCATAAACCATTTGCAACTTCCAGATGTAATAATATATATATATATATATANGATGTCAGACCACATTCCTTTAGAGGAACACAGTGGAAGAGGAAGAGAAGGAGCATAAGGCTGAATGATTGAGTTCAAGTAGATGAAGCAGACCCAGAAGTCTCTCTGAAGGCAGCATTAGTGCCTTGATTTTGATTTGATTTTTCGGACTGATCTAAGACCAGACAAGCTGCTGCATTCTGGATCATCTTTAAGGGTTTCACTGTGTGTGAAGGGAGACTCACCAGAAGAGCATTGCAGTAGTCGAGATGAGCGATAACTATGGCCTGGACCAAGAGCTGGGTGGTGTACTGAGTCAGGTAAGGCCTGATTCCTCTGATGTTGTATAGAGCAAAGCGGCACGACCAGGAGACGGATAGGCAGTCACTAAACAGGTTTCTTCAACACACCCTTCATACATCAGCTCAATCTGACGGAAGTGGTGTCTGTTTAGTTAACTATGGTGGGGTTAATTAAATTTAATATCAATACTACTACTAAGTCAATACATTAATGGGAAAACAAGCTAAATATCGTCTTGACATAGGTAAGGACATAAGCCATCAGCGATTGCTCTGAACATAGTCGATCAACGAGATCATCGTCTATTGGTGCAACTCTAAACAGAACCATGAGTAACGTTAATAGTTCCACTTTGCTTTTGCTGCTAGGACAAGTCGACCTGTCTGCAGTCCATGAACATGTTATATCTCTGTTTAATCAGTAAACAAACTGAAAAAAACAACAATGAAACTTTTCCTGGTTTCAACTTCTCAAAGTGTTATATAACATTAAAGTGAGTCAGTGCAGGTACATGTAATGACACCTTGGCTTCTGAGTAACTGAGATCAGCATTTTTCACTTTGTTCTTAAAGGTTGAAGACCAAACAATTATCAGAAGATTATAATCAATAATGACATTAATCAGTAGTTGCTGCCCTAAAACAAAGGAAATGTCAGAGGTGGAGCACAAGCAGCTGCACCCAGTTCTAGATCTTTGTCCTTGTCTCAGTCACAAAGAAATCTGCTTCTGTTTTTCACTCATTAAAAGCTCACAGTGAGTGGCAGCCTGGTTTTCAGGCACAGTGACTCGACAGCTTATATCAAACCTGTCCGATTCAGGTTTCGTGTGTCATGATTTGTTCCAAAAAGTAGGGCCAAACCTGACTGGAAAGTCACAGCAACTGTGTTTACAGAAATAAAAGGACCACAAAATATTAAATCAACAGGGAACTGGAAAAAACCACGGGACAACAGTTACATTTCCTGTGCTCAAAGTGGAAATGGGTCTTTGAGTGGTGGAGCTTCCAGTGATCCACTGTTGCCGTAGGAACACTGTTACTCATAGTGTACCTGAAGCAGCAGTAGTGTAGGTGTATATGGTACAGATTTCACAACAGTGCGTCAGCTGGCATGACTGATGGTGAGATGAGTTCTGGCAGAGGTTCAGGATTCAACTTGCGGTATCACAACGGTGCTGATTGATTCACAGCGTGAATGTCACTGACGCCTCGAGGGGAAGTTCACGTTCTAATGAAGCGAGAAAAGTTCAGAACGACGGGCAGAAAAAAATCAGGGGGTGGGGAGGAGGAAAAAAAAAAAAAAAAAAATCAACCAATAACCACAGACCTACCCACACCATGAATGCTTTATTTTGAAGGATCAAATAAAGGGTGATGACCTCATTAAAGGTTTGTACAACTAATGCACAGGATAGAAATTAGTGCAGACTCGAGCCGTCAATCTACTGCTGATACTAAACCATCACTCCTGCATGTGCTTCACAGGCATTTTATGTGAATGTAGGGGTAGGCTTTTACTGTGAAACACATGTCTGTGAAGACAATGCTGCTCAGGGTTAGCCAACAAGACCGAACACTGGCTCTATTCTATCACTTGCACATTTTTCTGCACTTGCTTTTAGGAGAAGATTTTGAAGCATTTGAAATTTAGTCTTTTTTTTTTTTTTTAGATGTGCTACGAACACACTCAGGAGAGAGTGTACAGTATGAGCTCTGATCACAGATCAGTGCTGTTTGTAAGGTCCACATCTGTTCACAACAGCAGTCATCCTCCTGCACTATTTGTCCTTTTCAGGATTAAGTAAAAAACTGGGGAAAACAGAGGACTGGATGATCAACAGATATTCTGAGTACAGGTATCAGAGCTGAGAGAGCCATGTTGGATCGGTGCATCTCTGACATTTACACCAGCCACTGTGAGGCCACTTTCAGACCAGGTTCATGACAAAGATGTAGCCTCAAATTCATTTCAATGACACTAGTCCATTGACAGTGGGGGTGCTGATCAACTCCCCAGGAGCAGCACTGGGCTGTGAGGAGATTTTCTCATAGTGGCCACAGTCTGTATTGCAGGATGACATGACGCACACTTTCCCCATACACAATAATTAGAAAAAACAGTGAATACATTTTTCTGAGTGCTACCAAAACCTCCAATATGACTCTTTGTACAAGGAGAATCTGATCCACTCTCTCATCTGGACATTTGGAGAGTTCGAAAGAGCAGTGTGGTCAAATTATTTTAGCCCTTTCATGTGTGTGGGGAGGAAACAGGAAGTCAATCAGCCTGACAGGAGGAAGCATTAAACCCACAACCTGCCAAGGACTATACTGTGCATGCTCTATGGGCCCATAGTAGTCTTCAGGTGTCTCGAGATGTCTTCAGGTGACTTCAAATGTCTCATTTTGTCCGACCAACAGTTCAGCACCCCACAGATTTTTTATTTACTATCTCGTATGACAAAGGAATCCTGCTTCTCAAATCCTGTCATTTTAGAAGCTGAAATTATTAAATATTTGGCTTTTTTACTTAAAAAATTAAAAAAAACAATTATTGAATTATTAAAATAGTTATGTCTGCAAAGACTTTTGTGGTGTAAAATTCCTCTCATGCTGATACTAGTATTGGAAATGTTTCTGATACTGCACTGGTGAGTACGAAAGTCTATATCATTCCCATGTCCCGCAATTTATTAATAAACTAACAGTTTCACACCTAGACATAATGTCAGTTTTCCCTGAAATCAGTTCTTCTTTGTCAGTCTAAAACAATAGGCTCTTTTCAGCCTCTCCTCGCTCAGAGTCTCCTCTCTTCTGATTGGTCCACCGACCAGTTGTTACTAGAGCTCCAGAGAGAAGCCTGAGAGAGGAGATGTAAAACTACATTGAGATGGTTTTTGATACTTAAAACCACAAATATATCTCCTTATGGATCAAAACTTCAAATAAAACACCAGAAAACTACAAACTGTGGGACCTTAATAAAGATACATTGACCTCAGTGAGGATATATCAACACTGCAGCTGCTTCCTGGTAAAACATCCATAATCAATTCAGACTGCTTTAGGACTTTTACTAGGAAACAGCTGCAGGAAGTGTTGTGTTTGCATTAAAAGCAAACTCACATGGCCAACATCTGCTTTCTAACAAACACTGACTGCAACTCTCTTCATATTTGCTTTCTCCTCAAAAGTGGTTAGTTTTATTATTATTTATATTTCTACTCTAAATCACTAAAAACATGTAAGCATATATATATATATATATTCATGATTACTTTAGAGAGGTTAACATTAAGGTCTCCAGTAGGGTAAGGGTAATACCTGACATACAACAGTGGGTGTAGAGACCACAGGAGGTTGTATGATCAACATGAGGGGTGGTGAGATGATGAAAGCAGCTCCACAAAATTATATTTGTTTTTTCAGATTTTCCTCTCATTTTTGCTCATGTACTTAACAATTTTACCTCTTTAATCCTCCAATACAACAAAATCATCCAAGTTTTCACACCTAAACATCACTTTAACACAAAGCACCTCCTACACCATCAGTGTTAAAGGGTATAAAGGTGGTGTAATTTAACAGACCAACCTCCACCCAGGCTGATGGGCCCTGTAGTTGGACTTTACTGTTATTTCAGTAAAACACAACAGCTTGAGGTTGTATAATAATAATAAGAGTAATAACTGTTGTAATAAAAAGAGCCAGCTGGGCTATTATGAAGTGAATTATAGACAAGCACGTCCTGTTCACTGTGTTAAAGAACTATACTAAAACCTGTAAACAAACTGTTAGCTAAAACAGTGAACTTGGCATGCTGCTGTGACCTAACACCACCTCTTGGCTGTTCTGGAAATCAGTGTAGGCCTCTCCACACAGCTCACTACAGACCTGTCCTCTGAATCCATCCGGCTGAGCGGCTCTCCATCCGACGAGGTGAGCTCCACGCTGGCCCGTCTCTTGGTGCCGTGCTCGGCTCTCTCCGCGGTCTTTGTGCGGTCGGTGGGCAGAGAGGAGGACACGTTCTCCCCCTCTCTTTGTTCTTGTTTCAGCACCCGGGAGCCCTCTTGAGCGGAATCAATGCTACTCGCCAAACTCCCCTGAACGGGACTTTTCCCCGGTTCAGAGAGTTTAACACCGGGTTCCCCCGCATCGTTGTCTGCTTTTTCGGCTGGGGAAGCGGTTTCCTTGTCGGCGTCGGGAACAAGAGACGGGTCGTCCCCGTGCTCCTCCGACGCACCACGACCACTGTTCACGTCCATTCCTGCTCTGTTCTCGTTGTTGTCGCCCGGTTCCTGTTTGGGGTCCGGCACGGCCTGTTCCTCTGTGCCGGTTTCTGCTGTTTCACCGGTGCCGTTTTGGTCCGACGTCGGCTGAGAGTCTTGTTCGGCCCCTTCGCTCGTTATCTGAGCCATTTTCGATCAGCACGCGAAGATATTTTGGTGATGTTCCTCTCGAAAAGTTGCCCTCAAGCTGCCCTCTTTCCTCCACTCACACTCTCCGCTTCAAGCGTAAAACACAGCAGGGGGTTCGCATGACGTCGGGGCCCCGCATGGCCAAAGGTGGTTTAATTAGAGTGATGTCTCACTCGGTGCCCGAACATGAGTTCAGCAGTAACTTTGATATTAACATTGAGTTAACAGCAGTGCGTACAAAATTATCAATTCCATGTGGACTATTTCATAAAACCACTATAATACAAATGATATCTGACACCAAACAAATGTAAGCATCTTTAAATTGATACCAAATGTGCTACATTTAAAAGTAGTCCTGATTTAGCACGGCTAGTTAGCATATCTTGGAAGTTATATTCAAGTTTAGCCCCTTTAGCTAATCTAAAACATTGTTTTAAAACAGCAAAAGCATCTTTCTTATTAAAGAAATGTAGTGTGCGTAGTTTTGGTCTTTTAGAGAAAATACACTGTCCAGTTTGATTAATACTGTTGTGATAGAAAATTCAATACACTTCACAGCAGTGGCAGCCATCTTGGTTGTTAACAAAAATGCTTCAGCAGTGCTCCTCCGTCAGTCATCGTATCAAACCCGCCCCAGTTCAGATAAATGATTGTGATTGGTCCAACATGAGCTCGCTGATTGGTCTGGTGTCCAGGCACCACTAGGAGGAGCAGACTGAGCTTTTGCTGTATACGGAGTGAATCATCCTCGTAAACATGGACGATCTTTGGCATTGTGGCCTCTCAGCTCCACGTGTTCCGACAAACAGAAAAATGATCCAACTCAGAAAGTGCTGAAAAGGCACGTTCTTATCTCAGCGAGGTGCATATTCCTGAAGGAACCGCTGCTGTTTTTAGCCTGTTTCAGCCTCCATGACTGGACCACAGCGGTTCTCGTTTTAAACTGACTATCTCCACTCTGTCTGGACACTCTGAGCTGCTCTGACCTGAGTGGCCAACTTGTTGCATTAAGATGAAGGCCTGCTCCTGTACTGCCTGTGCTAACATGGAGAAAAGATGTCCTCTCTAATTATACAATTTCAGGTATATTAGGCCACAAAATATTCCACACCTCAGCTCACAGATGGTTAATTAATACACAGTAGTGAGTGGGATGATTACTAATGCTCAAATGTTAATTTTGTGCAGCATAATTAGTTTTTTTGCAGTTTGATTTTTTTTATTTTTTGGAAAAAAAATTTCATGATCCACTTACTAATCTTTTCCACAGCTTTCAACCATATCACATGGCCTTTTATTATTATTCAAAGTTCTTTTGGAGGACTTTTGGAACTTTTTGTTTGTGTAGGCTTAAAATCATGAAAGTTTGTTCTTGACAATAGTTGGCAAAACAGTCCACATATTAGATTATTGATCTATCATATTATTATTATCAACTACAACTGAAAACCCTACATACATACATTTGATAAGAGCCATCATGTTCACTCAGTGCAAAATCCCATAAAATTAAAATGATACTTTGTGTCTTTTCTCTTGTAAAATAATGGATCATCTAGCTTGTTTTCCTTTGAAGGAGTCACAAGGCAGGGAACCACAGGGTTATTCTAAATCAAATAAATGGACAAAAGGAAAGAAGCACTAAACCTGAAAAGCAGAAGTCAAACTAACATGGATGAAAAAGAAAAAAAAACAGCTACGAGCATGTTTTAAGAACATCAACATTTATTTCACATGATATAAAACAGATGGGTATGAACTTTTTGCATATTGACCCTAATAATATTAATAATAACCTCTTATAGTTATAATATTCGCTCTTCTTCTTTTCAGTGTGTACATAAATTATGCTATCTTGTTTTATTTTTTAATTTTAATTTTTTTTTTTTACAGTTTATACATCTCTTTTTAAATTTCTTTTATATCCTGGAGCTCCAAAGTCCGACTTATTGCTTCGTACATGTGCTATTCTCCGATTCTTCACCACCTGGGACAGATTCAAACCCAGAATGTCTCATCTGTGTCGTGTCCTCAGCCTCTTTACTGTATATCTTCTAACTAATGTAAACCAAAGAAAGAAGAACAAAAAGAGACAACTAAAAAAAAAGAAAACAACAAAGCAAAGTGGGAATCCAAAACATTCACATACTGTGTGTGTCATCCAACAGACTGTCTGCTCGACATAAATAATCACAACTTCTGCAAGAGACTTAGTTCTGTCCAGAAAAAAAAGAGGAAAACAGCAGCATGAAGTGGCACCTTGTTGAAGTAAAAACCTGCTTTAAGTTTGTTAATATACTTTTTTTTAATATATTTATATATGTATATCCAATGAAGGACAATCTGTTATGTTGCAGGTGCAAAAAAAGAAAATAGAGCGATAAGGGAGCCTCTGGTCTCAAATCAACACAAAGAATTAAAATCAGAGCAGGTTTAAAATCCAAGACCATCAGCGGTCACTTTGGGGTTAAAGTAAAGCACTGCATGTGTGTTGAGTTTTGGTGCTTAGCCCGTCTGCGTGCTCCTATATACAGCTGTACACTCACCTCCAGCAACTCAGTAACAGCTAACTCCTCCCTTCCTCCAGACCAGTAGAATACTCTAATTTTAATCATTATTATGTTAAACTGACTTTAATACTTAGTAAGGTATCAAAAGTTTTTGTATATTGACATGTGTGTATGTATTTAGCAACATGTTTCTATGGAGCTTTATTTCCCCCAAAACAAGTCGTACATACAGTCAAGATTGTGAAATGGTTTCATCCTTTATACTTATATCTGTAGCTCTTAAAATCAAGAGAAAAATGACACTCACTTAGAGTCTGTGGTAACATAAGGCAATGGACCAGCTGAGCCAAGGATAGGAAAGACTGAACAGGACTGTGTGTTCAGCATTTTCTTTACATGTAATTCATCCTGACTGGGTGAACGGCATAAAATACAAATTTTAAAAACACGGTAATCTGAGTTTATACTGCAGTGGACAGGTAATATTCTCTAACAACTTCAGTGAAACAGATAGTAATAATGCACTCTACCTACTTTAGCCAGTGGCTTGTATAAGACTGCAGCCCATAGAAATGGAAAAAGTGTCCTATTCCTGACCAGATGTCGCCATCTCAGTCATAGTGTTGCAGGGATTAACTGTTCTCTTGTGTATGTTGTTACCTAATGACCTCCTTTGAGTTGGACACGCCCGGAAGATCACTAAAGATCAGGATGTCCAGGATGCATCCTAATCAGATGCCTGAACCACCTCAACTGCTTCCTTTCTATAGGAAATAGCACTGGTTTCACTCCAGTCCTCCTCGTCCTCTCTCTCAGGATGAGCCCGGCCGCCCTGCCAGGGGAACTCATTTTGTTGGCTCACTCTATTTTCCAGCGGTGCACCACGCTCTCAGACTCTAAAACCAGCTGCTTCGCACTCTGCTGTAAACTGTCCCAGTGGGCGCTGCGGGTCATGGTCTGATAAAAAAACCAACAGAACTACCGCACATTACCCGACATCTTTCTAGAGATTCTGTCCATCAAAATAAAAACAGAAACTGTGGGGTTTCCCTGGTGGAGCCCAACACCCACTGAGAATGCGTCACAGACCGTGAAGTAAATCCTTCAAATGAAGAAAAATTCATATTGTGAAACATGTATGTCAGTGCCTTTGTTTTATTTTTCATCTTTCTCTACTGGGCCCATTACTTGTACCAGTGAGTGACAGTAGTGAGTGAGGTTGTTTAATTGATGTTTGATAGCTGATGTTTAACCATTACCCACTCTCAAATGGGGAGATTCAGGAAGAGAAACAGTGCTTTCTCCAAGGCAAACAACAGCCTGAGTCTGAGTTTGTTATTAAATCTAACCTGTAAAATCAGAGGGAACAGAAGAGACCACAAACAGCATTGGAACCAAGACACAAAGCGGAGACCGGTACCCTCATTACCACTGCTGAGGAGCCAGAGGACAAAATCAACCGCTCCAGTGACCAACCGTTCAGACTGTGATTGTACTGGATAGACCTGCCTCCAGGTGTGAACCGGTACAGCTGGCTGAAACAGATGTAGCACTAACCCTGTACAATACACACTTGTTATTCACTCGTTACCTACGTTCAGGGCTGGAGGGACGACTGTCATGCAGATCAAGTAGTTTAAGAAATCAGTTGACACATCTCTTTCAGTAATGAACCGTGTGTGGCTGATGATTTCCTGCATAGCTGGCGACTCATTAGGAACAAAAAGAGTGTTGTAATGTTAACGTCAGACTGATTTATCTCTATAAATGTATACAGAACATTCCTGCCCTTGCTCAGACATCTGTAACATCTGTAACCTCCTTTATAACTAAACCATTTCACAATCTTATATTTATGCATAAAAGTTTTGGGATAAATATGACAACGTGGATTTAATGTTTAGCTTCAGGAAACATCAGTATGAACAGATCTAATAGGTGCTAAAGATACAGTACATCTGCCTTTCTCTCTGTCTGGATGTGATGGCGGCCCGTCTGTGTGTTGTTCAGTCCGTTAGAGGGGGGGCCCGTCATCCTCTCGGTCTCAGTCTCCTTGTGGGCATGTAACAGTAGTATCAAAGTAGTTCTGTTGTAAACGCAGGAAGCCGTGGAGCATGCTCTGTGCAGGCTGGCTACATTTGGGCTCTACGGGATGCCAGTGTGGATGTCAAGGCCGGCGTCGCTCACGTGTCGCTGCTCACCAAGGTGAATGTCTGCGCTGCAGGGAGGAGAAGTGATGAACGTGAGTGATGAGGATTCACAGTAATTCATTAAGCTAGGAAAAAAACAAAACAAACATCAAGCCGTCTAAGTGAAAACAAAGCAAAGCAAGACTTTTCCCAAAATGTTGAAGCATTCAAATGCACTTTTTTCCCTGTCAGCCCGTCTTTCCTGATAAACCTCGTTTCAAAAACATTGCAGTTTCATTATTCATCCACTAGAGTGTGCTGTCTGTTCAGCTTGAAAGCCACATGTTCCATATCACACAGTCATTTCATTCAGGCTCCTCGTTCCACGGTCTTGTGGCATTTGAATAAAAGCAGTGGGAATTTTAAACTGAATTAAAACTGAGATTTAACAAGAGAAAAGCTCCTTATCTGTGAATGCCATAATCCATCCCTCCATCCAGTTATCTACTTATGGTGCAGCTGGGGCTTACTCATCTAATTTTTTATGTTATTTTTTTTTTTGGGCATACCACTCTTTACTTTTCATTATTCTAAAGATTAAACAAAAGCTAAAAAAAAAAAAATACATTATTTAAAATGCGGGTGTACCATCAAAATACAGCCATCTATTCCTGTTCTATGCTCCTCAGTGGCAGCCTTTACAAAAATGTATGTGCATAAAGTACTGTAGCAAAGACTGAATGTCAGCTACCTGTGGAAAGATTTAGTAGATCTTAACTCACGCAGCCAAGGCAAAGATGAAGAGTGAGACAGGTAGAAACAGTTTTAGAAACAGTCTGATTTATCTTAAGTAAACGCCACATACGTCTGTGACATTAAAGTCCAGCCTCCGGAGCCTGTTCAGTTTGATTTGACAATTAACAGTCAATGAAGGACACAAGTGATGATATGCTAAGCTATGTAGGCTAACCAAATGCTGACGCTAGCTCTGTACTTTGCCCCAGAAGACCTGACATGATGTTTTACATGCTGTAAAATCTGCTTTATAAGACCTTATTGAGCTTTTTTGTATATAAACAGTCTCAAAATATCAAAACAGGCCTTAAAAACCCAACATGTGGTCAAATTTATGATTTATAGCTTTATAAATAAGACTGACTTGTCTGTTTGATTGACAGCAGAGATTATAAATGTGGTGTTTGTTGGCTATACTATAAATTCTCAAATGTTAGAGCATCTTTGAGATCTCTGAGTCTTTTTTGTATCTAAAGCCAGTCTCAGTTCTATATTAATACTGTGAAAGTCCACAGAGAAATGCACACAGCCTGTTTTCAGAAACTGAGCCGTCAGGACTTCTGTAACATTGTGATGTCACAACAAAACAGTCACCGCCCCACAGCCATGCCCCAAGCCCCGCGCACCTGGACCCACCATCCAACCTTGCAGGATTTGGTTTCTCTGAGTGTTTACTTGAAATCAGAAGAGAGGCTCAGAGCCTCCTCTCTTCTGATTGGCTCACTGACCTGTTGTTACTAGAGCTCCATAGAGAAGCCTGAGAGAGGAGATGTAGAACTATATTAAGAGGTTTTTTTGGTGCTTAAAAATATATCTACTACGACACTATGTAAATGAATGTACAGCAGCGATGGAGGGAGTCTTCACTCACAAGCCAACATGTTGTTGTTGTTGTTGTTGTGTTTCTTGTCGTCTGCTGTAAACTGGTTGTAAGAGTCCAGGCTCCTCTCCAGCTTCCCCTCTCTGGTGGTTTGCTGCGTCATGTCTCCCTCCTCCTCCTTGGGCTCTGGGCTGGGCGTCTCAGGCTCAGGAGTCTGGAAGCTACAATCAGCAGAACGCGTCACTTCGTCCACAGTTAGTCTAATGAACACTTAGATAGACATGCTTAAAGCCGGGCAATGTACCAGACAAACCTCAGTGCAAACACAAACAGGCCTAGTCTCTTTTTGACTCATAGTTTTGGGTTTTCAGTCCACAAACTTAGCGGGAAGCAGTTTTTCAGCGCATCATTAACTGTCTGTTCTCTGCCTGCTCAACACCAAACAGCAGGCAGACACAGTGAGAGAGAGAGGATATTCCTCTGCCCTCGAGTGTCTGAAGAAATCACATCATGTTTTGGTGAATTCAAGTGTTTTTTGGCGTTTGTTTCCCTTGATGAAGACAAACATGCCTTCAACTACAACAGTCCCCTGTAGTGGTTTGTGACACACACACACACACACACACCCATACCTGTTTTCAGTGGTGGTGTTTGTAGGTGAGCTCGTCAGGTCTTGCTCCCTGCTCTCGTCATCCTCAAAGGGCTCGAGGTTCACTATCTCCACACGCTGAGGCTCTGTGCCCAGGTCCAGAATCACCACCCTCTGACTCTCACACAGCTGAAACACACACACACACACGCACGCACGCGCGCGCACGCACACGCACACACACACACACACACACACACACACACACACACACACACACACACACACACACACACACACACACACACACACACACACACACACACACAATGAAAAGCAGTATTGGTAAAAGGAACTCAGTTGTCTTTATTCAAAGCAAACGTTGCATCTTTTATGTCAGCAAGACTTTGATTCTGTGCTGTCACACCATGATGACAAAGAATTTTTATTTTTTTATTTGACTTTTTGAAATAAAGAAGTAAATATTGATCACTACAGATAAATATATGTGGATACTGGCAAATGATGAAATATGCACCTATAAGAAATATAACGAAACGAAAATAAGCCAATTAAAAATAAATGAGCAGATAGATGATAAAACAGAAAAATAAATAAAGAAAATAATGAATGAATGAGTCAGTGTTTCACTGCTATGGAGTGAGGGTGCTGTACGCACTCTGGGCTCCATGGATCTCCAGGGTGGCATCCCGCTCGAGAGCAGCCCAGACCCAGCTCCGGATCCCGGCTGAATCCAGGAGATAAACCCTTTAAAGTCAACCTGGCTTCCTCCACATTCCCACAAATCCTCTGTTATTGTCCCAGATTACATTCAGAGACGTTACGGCCACAGTGGCCGATTAGCCGCTGTGTGGCTGACAGATCTGGGATTACAGACTGTGAATTTAACAGCGTACGGTGAAGCAGTGTAATAGAATTCCTTTGATTCTGCACCACCTGCTGCGTCTGCTGCCTCCAGCTGACTGCACCAACCACTGTACCACTTCACTAATTGCCGACATCCACATCAACAGTTACCGTGCATTTTAAAAAAGTGTATATTTTGCCTTTCAGTGTTTGAGATGTTCATGAGATAGTTCACACTTTAATTATGTGTTTTTGTCAAACTCAAACTAACAATGAATGCATCCTACTAACAAATACTGTTTGTGTATCTAAGCCTGATATATCTCCTTCCTCTGAGCCACTGACTCAGTCCCACACACGCCGTCCTGCTGCCAAAAATACTCACTAGACCATCAAAAGTGTATTAATCCACATCAGAAAATAGTTCCAAACAAATGCTATTTCTTCCCGTTTGGGTAACGGTTTTCTAAAAACTGCAATTACCAGCTGTTTTAGGACCTTACTGAGCCTTTAAAAAGAAATGGAACCATATATTAGTGAGGTGTTTTCAAAGATAAAGAACCAGTGGGTTTGGAGCTGGGAGCTACAGACAGGGTAGGGGCATCAGAGAGCAACAGACTCATCCAGCCTTCTCCTTTAATGGCATGTCAAGCCATTCCGTTTCTAACCTTCAAGGGACAGAAAACTGAAAATGTGTGAAATGAGTAGAATCCTCAACAGGAACTGACTGAATTATGACAAACCTCTATGTCCACGTCTCTGCGGTGTCTTACCTCGTTGTCTATGCTGTTGGTCTCAGCCTGCGGCTCCTTCACACTCCGCAGGGTCACAGCCCTGCCCTGCTGTACCTCCTCACACTTGTCATCTTTCACCTCCTCTGCTCTCAGCAGCTCCTGGACGTGGAAAAACTGTCGATTTACACTTTCTTTTTGTCAAGGTTTTTGAAAATTTACATTTGTTTTGGATGAAAATGTTATGCATATTGTTGCCACAATTGGAACTGGTTGCCATCTTATTGAATGAGACAATGATATAAACAATTTTTAATCAAATATCCCATGAACCTTTGGTGCAGTCGGTGTGAGTCTCTCTGTGCGAGTCCCAGCAGCCTCAGCTGTCCTGCTCTGCTCCATGTGAGCCACCTTCAGCTGCTGCAGAGCTGCTTCCAGCTCCACAGGGTCTGCACAGGCACCCTCTGCCTGGGCCCGGGTCTACACACACACACACACACACACACACACACACACACTTAAATTAATTGAATTAATTAACAGATTGAAAAGTTTTCAGGGCCCACAGAAGAGTTTAATACAAGAGCTTACTTTCAGGCTTACATGTATATGCGTGTGTGTGTGTGTGTGTGTGTGTGTGTAGGGGCGTTGTGACATCACCTGCAAGATAACAAAGGGGTTGTCTTTGCTGAAGGAGGGTGAGCGGGATGGCGTTTCCCTCTTCTTCTCTCGGAGCGACGAGGCCTCCTGGTTTCTCCTGATCCTCTCCAGCTGTTCCTCCACACTCATCCTCGTTCTGCCCACCTCTCGCTCCCCAAAACCGATCTGATCCACTGCGCTCCTGGGACGGTCCTGCACAGGAGCAAACTCACACCTTTAAATTCTTTCCTCAGGGGTTTATATTTCTCATTCGCTCGCATCAGTGCCAGTCGGGCAGTTTTGAAAAGTGCACACTGATGCTCCCTCAGAGGACAACCCCTGCTGGTTTTTATAGCTGCCTGACCTTTGCTTAGCAATACTGTTGGTATGTTGTCTGTTTTGCTCAACTCTTGCATGGCTGAGTTAAACACTGCAGCAGCAGGTCTACAGTCAGCATGTGTGACTCATATCTGAGGGTATGGCGGTGTAGTGCAGGTGTAACAGCCAGCAGGGACAGTTACATTAGATCCCGTCTGGCAGCTTTTACATTCTTGTACTGCAGCTCACATCACTACATTATCCAATAGAAGATGGGATTCAAATAATGGCTCAATTAAAACTTAATATATGGCTGGACAGTGTATGGTCAATGTGCAAAATTGTGGAACTGCTGTAAACAGCTGAGCCCATCATCCAATTGGCATTCTGCCTAGTGTTTCAGCTTTTTATCTGTGTTTGTTACTCCCTGTGGTCACATATACAGTATTATAAGATACGATAAGATAAGATAAGATAAGATAAGATAAGATAAGATAAGAAGGTTCTCGTTTCCATGTTTTTTCTGTTTCTGTTGTATGAAATAGTGCCCGAAACTAAAGCAGTCGCTTCCAAGCTGCTGCTAAAATCCTGATTATATAACCACGACACCGTCTGACAAAATCACACATATGTTAAAGACTCCACCTCTCTGCCACTCACTGAACAGAGTAGACACACAGAGAGGGCAGAGTCCTGGCCCTTTTATGAGGTTTTAGTTTGATGAAATGAAAACTTTATTTTTGATCACACGTGCATTTTTTTCTGCCACATCCATTCAATGTATTTCCTCTCTATGTAGTAGGTCTCAGTGCATGGTCTGCCATCCCTGCACTGGGTAAAACTGCACATCTAAGCAAAAGGGACTGACGGGAAATGATACAGCATTACTGTTTGTAACTTGGTCTCATTGATATCAGCCTCACTGTTTACTGTTCACCTTACTCCATGCTGTATCAGAGCTGGATTAAGTTACAGCTAATGCTAATGCTAGCCCTTTAAGGCACTCAAAGGCTTTTAATGTAAAATAACTCTGCAGGAAGTGTTTTGTATGCACTTTGCGATAGTAGACTCCCTTTATTATATCTTATTATATATGTTTGCTTCCCTGCTCCAGAGAGCCAGTATTTAATATAAGAGTTCTCTCTAATGTTGAATTTACCGAATTTACCTATGTAGTTAGCTACTTTATTTCTAAAAGTACTGTCTAGAAAACCTGATACTTTCTGCAGTTAAGATTTTTCATTGCTTCAATTTCAGCTAAATACTTATGCTTTCGCCCTCTTGTATGGTGTGATGCTATATTTTGTTAATTTAATGGGTAGATTACCAGAGATATTTTAAATTTCACACAAATAGAATTTACTTTAAACGAATCAAATTCATACTGCCATTTGTTCTACACTGGAGAAAAAAAAACGTGTCTCCCAGCTGCTGCTGGTTTTGTTAAATTTATTCAGACACCATGCCAGGAGCAGCATGACAAGAATAACTGGAGCGGAAACCTCCATCAACTGTGATTAAAGACTGACAGATTTAAGAAAAAAAGTATATATATATATATACATATATATATATATACAGTATATTCCACAAACAAAAGAAAAATAATAAAAAGACAGTATGTGTGACTGCTAAATCAACACAACACAGGACAGAGGCTTGAACAGGAAATTGCAGCTCTGAGATGAACAGAAATGCAGTGAAGCTGAAGGGAAACGATTCTCTATGAGGCTGACACTAGCAAACGTGATATGTGCAGAAATCCTCTGGGCTGTTTCTGACACATCTGTGGATTAAAATCGACTCATTTCATCTAAACACGTTTTGTGCCTCTGTTGGTGCTGAAGGCAAAACTTACTGATCTGGATTCAGACTTCTTGGTCTTCCTCAAGGTGACGTAGGAGGCGATGGTGGAGGACTCAGGAGGGCTCATAGGAGATTTGGTCCTTGGAGGGACGATACCCACCGGGTAGGGGGGCACTGTGGGAGAGACAGCGTGGAAAGCTGTCACTTACACACTAGCAAACAAACACCGCAGTCAGGCTAATTGCTCATGATGTGGCAGAACATTCCACCACGCTCCATTTCACAGAAGATGAAAAACATGTAAAAAGACTGTTTTGAAAAACAGGAGACAGTCAGGGACATCACTATTTCATTTTGAAAAATAATCAGTTTTCTGTTTCTTTCACAAATAAGGAAATGTGAATAATATGATGTCAGCTGACAGAAATCCTTAATGTCACACATTTCCACTGATAAACCTGTTTAAGAATGAAAAATATTTTTACTACTTGCTACCATGCAACATCTCTTAAATAGCTGTTATCACCTGTCAACTGTTAAAGGAAAATATCATTATCTTTCAGCTAGGGTCTTATAATTCTTCTTCTTATAATTGTGACCCCTCTGAAACCTCCAGAGATTTGAGAAACATGGATACAACACAATAAATTCAAGCAGTCCAAGCCTCCTGGACACGTTTGTCCTATTAGCAGCAGTTTGCTTATTAGTGGTTTGAAAGCAGGTGCTCTCTGTTAAAGGTCCTATATTGTATAAAAGGCAGATTTCAGCAGGTCTAGCTTTTACATTAATACTGTGAAAGTATCAAAGCCTCAGTCCACAGAGAAATGCACACAGCCTGTATTCAGAAACTGAGCCTTGAAACCAGCCGTCAGAACTTCTGGATTTTTGTGATGTCACAACAAAGCAGTCACCACGCTCAGCTATATCCCCAGCATGACTCACCTGGACCCACCATCCAACATTGCAGGGTTTGATCTCTCCAAGTGTCTATCTGCTATATGTATTGTCATGCTGGTTCAAACCTAGTATCCACAGAACATGATCCAGTAACTACCTAACCCTCCATATCCCTCATGTTCGCACTAATATTGGCAGGACTGGTTTGAGGGACTATGGACCATTTAAATGGAATGAACTGCAAACTGCCCTCAAACTAGAGTCTTACATTTCCCTTGGAGATTTTAATTCTTTATCATTTGATGTATTTTATGACTATTGTAAATGTTTTTGCTTGTGTCTTAGTTTCTTGTACTGTGCAGTTCTGTTGTCTCTGTTGTTGATCGTCTCTTGTGACTGCTTCTTGTTCTCAGGTCTCTCTTGGAAAAGAGATTTTGATCTCAATGAGACTGCCTGACTAAATAAAGATTAAATTATAAATAAAAACATTTTTATTCGATCACTCAGAAAACAGCCAGCCAATCAGAGGAGAGGTTTGGTGGCTGAACGACCTGTTGTTACTGGAGCTCCAGAGAGAAGTCTGAGACAGGAGATGTAAAACTACATTGAGATGGTTTTTGGTTCTTAAAACCACAAATATATCTTCTCATAGATCAACACTTAAAATAAAACACCAATAAAGTGTAAAATATGGGACCTTTAAAGCAAGAAATCCTAGCATCATCTGGAACTCAGGGAAATTAGATTGTTTCTGTCTGGTCTACATGCTCTGAAACATTTAGAGCAGGAGTCCACAATTTTGTAAGTATTTTCAAATTTGTTTTTGGATGTATATCAATGAATTATCCAACACTCACTATGTATAACAGCATCAGTTTTATGTAAGCGAGTGAGGAGTTGTACCTTTTGAGGCTGCAGTGTCTTTACTCTCAGCAGTAGCCTCTGTTTTGTCCTTGTCCTCACCGTTGGCCTCGTCCACCTCCTCCTTCACTGTGGTCAGCTCAGGCTCGCTCTTATACAGCCGATAGTCTGGAGCTTGCTGTGAAGGGGGAGGAGAGAGAGAGGGGGCGCTCAGGGTCAGAATACACACCTGATGCAGCTGTCAGGCACAGACACACACACTCACACACACACACACACACACACACATACACTGACAGAATGAAGGAAAATGTAATGGCTTTTCTTAAAATAACTTAATTGATTTGGATAATTTCTTATTGCTGCTGCTGGATGAAAACCTTGTATCTCCCAAATGCCAACTTTACCAATCTAAAACAGTCTTGACATTTCAAAATAAAAGTCTAAACATTTTAAGAAAGTGTTAACATTTCAAAAATAAAAGTCTAAACATTTTAAGAAAGTGTTGACATTTCAAAAATAAAAGTCTAAATATTTTAAGAAAACTCATAATATCATGAGAAAAGCTACAACGTTTCAATTCAAAGTTACAATTTAACAAGAATAAATTGCAATATCTCTAAAATAAAGATGTAATTTCAGGAGAAAAAGTCCCCGAAAAATATTGTAATGTAGTGAGAATAAGTTTGTATTTTAGTATTTACTTACAAAATATTATGATTATTTTTCAGAAAAATTACAACTGTTCTCCCAACATTATGACTTTCTTTGGAAATACTATGACTTTATTCTCAAAAATGTCCGATGTCTTTCCTGACAGTGGCCCTTACACTCAGTCACAGGGATAAGAAGTTGACATCTGGTTGTCAGTCACACTGGTAATGGCTCTTATGAAGCATAAAAAACTAGACACACTCTACGCAAAATTATAAACCCACACAATAAAACATCACTGTCACAACAATGACATTCCACAAATAAATCCATGTATTGACCAGGACAGGCCTGAAGGTGACGCTGTAGGTGAGTGACAGTGGCGGCTGGATGGAGTAGGGGTTGCAGGGGTAAAAAAGGAAAAAAGGAAACATCAATGCTGAGATGAGTCTATCCAAAGATGGCACTTGTTGAGGAATGAGTCACTTCATGTTCATGTTAATTCAGTCTTTAGGATGGAGCTGAGGATGATGAAAATGAGTTTAAAAATGGCTGTAGAGTTCAGAGATCAGATGAGGGGTGCTGATGGATGGCGGTCACAAACCAAAGGGGTGGGGCGGAGCGAGCAGATATGGGAGGGCATGAACATTTCAGCGGTTCTTACGCTGTGCGCTCCGTTCCTGGAGCCGGCCTTGCGGTCCTCGGGGCGGAGCGTGTGGGGGGGCAGACGGCTGCTGGGGTGTGAGTGGTGGGGGAGCACGTGAGGGGGGCGCTCTGATGAGTCGTAGTACTGGGGGAGGGGCGGGCGCGGGGGCACGGGCGTGTTGCCCTCCTTGAGAGGACTGAGTGGCAGCAGCGTCACTGCCTGTTGACAGTCAACATAACGGGTCTCATTCCAAAGAAAAATCACATGCTGTTACTGCACTGTGCTTCTGCGATCAGCGGCTACTTTAATACTGTAAAAGAGCTCCTTGGTGGTGCATTCAAGAACACTCTGAGGGTGCGTTCAGACTGAGAGCAAAGTGAATTTTAAAATGTCAATGCAGAGAAGCGAGTTGACTTGAATTCAGGTTGTGCAAACTGAACTGAAGACACCTCGACATGTGCTGAAAATGTTTCTACTTTAACCTGCATTCATTGATTTTTTTGGCCACTCGGGGGCAGTGCAGCTTGAAAACACAGCGGTGACTTTTTCTTTATGAAACTGATATAGTGAACATGCCAGCCAAAAGACATGGAGCAACATTTACATTCATTTGAAGTTGCATCTGGCCACCTGATGAGTCAAACATTTACTCTCCTTTTAGCTCTGTTTTGGTCTCCATCAACTCTACATTATTTATTATCCCATCATTCCTTATCTATTTGTTCTACGCTTTAATTTCAGCGACAACTAGAAAACTGGAGGTGTTGTAAAACTTTTGACTGGTAATGTGACTCTAAGGTCTTGAATGCTGGAGAAGTCATGAACGCACCATCATAGATTTTTTTGAAGCATTGCCTGCTCACATCTGCATTGCTAAAAAAAGGTCACTGTGATAGATCAGCTGCCTCAAGCAAGTTTCTAGATTCAGCAAGTTCATTTTCACTGCGCACAGTGGCTTTCTGCTATGAAGGAAATCAATGTAAACTTTGCTGCTTTGTGTCGTGGTCTGCACTTGTGAAAAAAACTATAATTCAGTGCTGAGAACACCCCACATGTTCACATGGCCACATGTTCGTGGTGAGTCCTGTGGCCATTTATGGGCTTCCGTTTGTGGATGTGTAGTTTGACTGTGTTGTTGTAGACAAACCTTTTGTCACATATTCATCTGACATTGACAGTGTGCATGTGGACATATTTTTGGCACAAATGGACCCCCAGAGCCTCTTTAAGGAAGAGGTTGTTACTGGACAGGATGAATGCACATACCATTACACCCCTGTTGGTTACTATTTCAAAAGTACAGAATCATCCTGCCTTCAAAAAGGGTTTTAAGAAAGACACACATATAATCAGCCGAGAGTGAGTGTGGTGTAATGTGGTGTGGATGTTCTTACTTCGTTCTTCTGGAGACTGGAGAGAGGTTTGGAACCGGGGAAATCTGCTGAACACAGGGAACATGGAGACAAGAGGAGAGGGACTTTAGCCTCGTCTATAACAAAAGACACATGAAAAAGCGTTTTGCTCAGGCCACGTTTCCTTTCACATCCCACACAGGTTTTTATATTCAAAACACAGAAACAGAGAGATCTTCATTTTTCATTTCATCAGCACAGTGAAAATAATTTCCTGGGAATAATCAGGAAACAGTTTGGCTTTTTAACCACAGTTACAGACGGGACAGTGCTGATGGGAGAAGAGAGACACATGAGTTAAGTCACATGATTCTGAAGACACAGAGTGTCCCTAGGGAAAGACACTGGACTCTCCCTCCTCTCACTATGAATCACATCAGATAGATATGAAATGAATCAGAGAACGTGTCACTCCTGACTCTCACTGTTGTCTGTGGCTCGCTGTGGTTTATTCTTGGCCAGAGCCTCCATCACGTCCTGGATCCTCCACAGCTCCTTCTGGATCTGGATGTGCCGCTGACTTGGAGGTTCTGTCTGAGGACACACACACAGACACACACATACACACACGCACGCACACAGACAGACAGACACACACACACACGCACACGCACACACACAAATGCTATTAAAAGTTTGATCACGCCAGAAAGATTATGAATGCACGTGAGTCTGTTTGTGTGTGTATGTGTGTGTGTGTGTGTGTGTGTGTGTATGTGTGTGTGTGTGTGTGTGTGTGTGTGTGTGTGTGTGTGAGAATGTGTGTTTTACCTGTGGGCTGCCCAGGGCCTCCAGCTGTTCCAGCAGGTTGGACTTGGCCTGAGTGACGTCTACCTCCAGTCTGTCGTACTCCCTCCAGGAGCGCTCCAACTCCTGGAACCAGGACGCCAGCCAACAATAGGGTCACAAGAAAGTGTGTGTGTGTGTGTGTGTATGTGTGTGTGTAAGTGTGCTGTATGTGTGTGACCAAATTCAAGTTTTGTGTCAGTGTTCCAGAGACAAAAGAACCAGTAGTGGTCTAAGCAGGCGCCCCATGTGTAGAGGCTACAGTCCTCGCTGCAGTCGGCCCCGGTTCGAATCCCGCATCGGACGGCCCTTTACTGCATGTCATTCCCCCTCTCTCTGCCTCCCCATTTCCTGTCTCTCTATACTATCCTGTCCAATAAAGGCACAAAAGCCCAAAAATATATATATTTAATGGAGCCTCATGTCTGTCAAAGGCTGCCTCCTCTGGAGACCTAAACTTTGTTTAATACATCACAGTTATAAAGTTTTGGATTTCCCACAAGCTCTTAAAGCTCAACAAAGACAAAACCAAAGTTCCTTCTTTCTTGGTGCAAGAAATATGTTCTCATTTAGAACATATCTCTCCCTTTCTGTCCCCATGCAGGTCAGTAAATCAGGTTGTGGTCCTTGATTCTGACTCTGACCTGACTTCACATCACCAACACAACAAAAATGGCCGTCAGCATCTTTCAAATATAACCAGAGGAAGAGGCTTCATGACTCGATGGTCAGTGACGCAGATTAACATGCATTTCTTCAGTCAGTTAGTCACATGGCTTGAATTGGGATTTGTGAGGAGGGGGGAGTTGGGTATGTGTGGGGTGGTTTCCACAGATCACATTGTTAACAGTTTTTGTAGGGACTATTTCTTCAGTGGCAAGTATTTTCAGTGAAAACTGTAGATGTTTCTATGGATGTGGAATTTTGCCTGAATTCTCTTAAAATAGAACTTTTACCTCGGCCAAAGAGCTCATGATTTCACCCGTGTCGGTTTGTTGTTGTTTGTTTGTTTGTCAGCAGGATTAAGCAAAAAGCACCAAACTTGGCGGAGGGATGGGACATGAGCCAGGGAGGAACCCGATGAATTATGGCACCAATCCGATTAAAGGAGCAGATGCAGGAATTTGTATATGGAGATAAGCAAGACAGGGCATTTCTCCACATTTTTTCTCAATTTCTCAGGGAAATCATATGGACCTTGTTTTATTACAAATCATTTTTGGTGTCAGACGGCTTCCTTTTGTAGGGTTCGCTTGGCCTTGTATGTTTTAATGATGCGTGGATCGCAGTTATAGCCGCAGGCATTGTGGTTAATCTGCGGATCAGGCGGGCCGAGTCATTCCGAACATTCTGATTAACAGCAGGTTGCGGGTTGATGAAATAATATATAATGTATGAGGAAAACATTTCTCTAAAATGTGAACATATTTTAAACTTAATTTTCATCAGGCACGGATTAAGACACTGTTTATAAACTGCTGAACTCGTTATTATGAGCTTTTAAACTGTTTGTGCTCGGGAAGTAGCAGCAACATTCAGAATTTAAATGTCAACCTAAGTTCAGGCTGTTGTGGGAATATCTGTTGTCATTTTCATTTGACCAAATACGGACAATTTTTACTTTAAATAAATGTTTGTTTATTCAAAACCGGCATAATATGTTACCATATCATCATGTGTAATATCTGTAGAAATAACGGTAACGTGTGATTGGGTACAGGTGTCTAAATCGTAGAAAATAATTTTTGTTTCAGATGCAACACGAGCAGAAATGGACCATTTTTTTCATTAGTAAACTTCTTCCACCTGTCTTGCAGAGATGTGTGTGTGTGTGTGTGTGTGTGTGTGTGGTGAGGTGTCCTCACAGTGTTGACTCTGGACAGCTCTCTGCAGGTGCTGAGCAGGCCGTTCTGCAGCACGTCTCTCTGCTGGACCAGACTCTGTGTGGCTGCAGCGCTGGAGCCGCTCTGTTCACTCAGCTCCTGACTGGCTGAGAGCAGGGCCGTCTCCAGAGTGTGCTGCCATATGTACATGTACGCACACACACACACACGTGCACGCGCACACACACACACGCACACACACACACAAACACACACACGTACACATTAATACTTATTATTGTACATATGAGCCTGCACAAGACATAAACATGAATACACACACTGACAGCTGTACCTTCTCTCTGTGTAGCTGCTGCAGCTTCTCCTCCTGCATCCTCACCGCCTTGTCCTGCTCACACAGTCTGCTCAGCTTGGTCTGACACACACAAACATGCACATGAACTAAACTTTATTAGAAGAAGTATGAAATATTTTACCGAAGGCTGCGCTTGTCTTACATCTATGTCAGCCTCCTCTGTGCGCTGGACGAGGGCGCCCTCTTTAAAGTCGTCTGGGCTGATCTGAAAAGGAGGCACAGTCAGAGACGGACAGCAGGGGGCGACAGCAACACATCTGTTAAGATGGAGAGCGGAGAGCTCCAGCCATGAAGAGTTCTCTACCCAAAATGCTGGGGGAAAAGAATGATGCTGACATCTCCATTTCTAACTATTTTTCCCAATGCATGGAGGATTCAGTCTGTCTGTGTTAAGGGATAACTAACCTGCTCTCTTCTTGGACATACAAGAATTCAATCATATGTGTGATATAAATAGTGTTTCATTACAACTAAAAGTAATTACTTCCCAAGTGCTGCAGGTTGAGGAAAGAAACTCTTCATAATTTGCCTCCTGCTGTTGATTCCAGAGGCAGTGAATGAGGGGATGAAGGGATGAGTGCTCTGCGCATATTCACTAATCTTCTGTAATTTCCCTTGAAGCTGTTTACCCAGGTGTCACCAGGGATGTTCTAGCAGAATATTATAATGCAGAGAAAGACAGAGGGAGGGGCAGCCTGAGAGGACACATACGCACTAATAAAGATAAAATTAAGCCCTTCACTATTATATAAATTAATAAAAATGCAAGAGAGTAATTTCCCTGGTGACGGAGAGGACGTGTGCCTCACTGTTGAAAATTGTATTTTCTGTCCCTACTGCTTTTACAGTTTGAATCTTAATTACTCATTAAATTCTTTGTAAACAGTGTTGTCTGACAGAAAATGGTATGATAAAAATGTTGAGCCACATTGCCTTTAATATTAAAGTCCCCCTCCACTCAGAAATGTGTGTTAGCCAATGTTACTTCTCTTGGATGTTTGACCTTCACTGTACAGAATGATGGACGTTCAGTTTGACACCAGGCGGCGGTCACCTGCAGATTGTTGTGACATCACAACTTGTTTATAAGCCGATGCCCTGTCCAATAGGCACCTTACACAAGTGTGATGTGGAAGCTTTTAAAATAAAAATATACTTATATATTCATAGATTCTGGATTTTGTTTTCAATCTTTTACATGTCTAACCAGGTAATTGAACTTTTCCATATATTTTCAAATATGCCTGGAGGAGGGATCTTTAAGCTTCATTAACTTGGTGGACTTTTCTTTTTGCCATTGGGTTGGCCTTTGATGGCACATAGAGGCTGCCATCTCCCTGTGATTGATGGAGCTCTGAGAGGAAGGCTTGTTTTATTTTGTGATTCTGGTTAAAAGACAAGACAACTGAACATCAGTCAAAGCAAAGGCAGCAAAAGACTTTACAAACTAAAATGATATGTCCCTCATGCATGCTTTATTCTATCCTATTTTTTCACTTCAGTGACAGATGTAAATACAGTGTTATCTCAATGTCACTTCTGTATCAAAGAAACTAAATGGAATTTTCAGGGTTAGTGTTTTAATAAAACTGAAATTAAGGCCACATTACTCTTACGTTAGACTAATGGAAGCTAGATTGGTAGATTAATATAAATGCATGTAATTTAATATTTTTTGAGGATGTTTTTCCATTTTTAATCCAGGTCAGCCAATGCTACTGAGGCAGGCTGGATCTGCATCCACCTGGAGAGGAAAGTCTGCCTGTGAGACCTAACTCAGGGCAAAGACATCTGGAATCTCACTGGTGTCTATTTCAGTTCACTTCCTGTGACATCGCTGCTCCCTAATGCATGGATGAAACATAATTTCAATATTGTGTTTACATGTGTAGGTCAACCATTTAAGAGATAAATTCATCCGATTGTTGTGTGTCCTCCATGGTTTGATTATGTGCACTAGTCACTTAGAGAGGCTTTAATAAAAGCCACATAATGTGAAACCCAGTTTCCTTTGACAGGTTATGGGATGAAGAAAAACATGTTGTGGAATCATGATCAACCACACAGACTATTAACTGGGTCTTACGGGATTGTGCATTTTCAACACTGTTGAGAAACATCCATGGCAGCAAAAAAGAGTCTACTACCAGAACAGACGCAGTACACCTGTATAATGTAACAGAACAGCTTTCTTACATGGCATAAATGTAAACTACCCTGCAGCGACTGATGTGTCCAAAAAAAATATTAAAAGAACGGCTGTTATCTCAGACAGAAAGATGAGGGCAGACAGAGTAGTCTGGCGTAAAGTGATAAAATCCTCTCACAATTCCCCTGACTGAATTTTATAAACCACATTATTATGTTCTGCTCCAGGAAATGCAGCTGAGAGGTGACGGTACAAACCCACACAGAGGGAATCCAGAGGCTGCATTAAAGTGGGACCCTGTACTTCAAACAGAACCGTTTGAAGACTATGCAATCTATTGGAAGGTTTAGTTAAGTCATGAATAAATTGATTACAAAGGGCTTCTGTTTTAAAGTACTGTTCTTTGAACAATCTGTTTTTTCAGTTTTTAACTGATGTGGTCAGTACATCCTTATTGATGAAATCCATCCAGTCTGACCTTTTGGGGCTATCACTGCTGTGTGGAGGTTTTACAGTAGATGTAGTGCTCTGCTTCCTGTCATAGAAACTGGAGCAAACTGACCTTCACAATAGTTTGCAGCAAAGCACTGAGCACAGTTGCAAATATACATATTGTTTAACTGGAAAATGTTTGAAACTACTGCAAACTTTTTTCACATCGAATTCCCTATTTTACCTCATAGAAACTGGAGGAAATCCAGAGTAGTGAATATACTGTTGCAGAGGAATTCAAAAGCTTTGAATACCTGAAATACCTCAAAGGTCTAGTTCAGGATTTTGAGAGATACCCTTAGTCTTTCTTTCTTTTTGAGAGTAAGATGAGATGACTGATATCAATCCCCATGTCTGTGTGTTCAGCAGAGGAGCTGGTTGGCCTAGCTTAGAGGGGGAAACACTTAGCCTGACTCTGTCCAAAATACAAAAATACACATAGCAACAGTAGTGTGTTTAATATGTTAAGAAAACAGATATGTAAAAATGACAATTTGTGGTTTCAGGGTTGAGCAACATCCAGGAGCAGTGACTGTGTGCAGCTTCTTTTGTCTTTAGATCTACACCGATCAGCCACAACAACCAATTGATTTTAATGTTTGATTAAAACGGGTAACTGGTGTTAACGTTTGAATGTTGCAATGTCGTAGTCTCAGACTTTTGGATATGCTGTATAAATACACCAATCAGCTTAATGCTGTGGACTCACTGACTATCTTCCCAATAATATTAGGGGGATGAATAAAACACTGTTGATCAAGAAATAGTTCCAAAATGTAATTTCCTTTGAACTTTGGCTAGCTGTTTCCCCCTGCTTCCAGTCTTTATGCTAAGCTAGGCTAACCACATCCTGATTCCAGTTCAGAATCTTCTCAGTCTCAAAAAGAATGTTAAATCTTGAACTATTCCTTTAATAATTGCTATCACTTGTACTCCTTAATTCCTTCTGCAGTAGCATCATTCTTCTGCAGAGCCACAGAACATCTGAAAAAATGAACTTTTAAGAGAAACACATCCAAACAGTGGAAGCATTTCCCAACAGTGAACAGTGCTGTATGATGACAGACGGTGGGAGGAGAAGTCCATGACTATGACACCATAAGCCATGCTCGCTTCAGGTCAGTTCCAACAGCATCAAACAAACAAAAACAAAACAAAAAAAGCGATGAAATGAAACGTGCTCGAACCAAAATCAACGTCATATACATCTTATAATAATAATGCTGCGATGACATCTGGGAAGGATTGCTGACGAACAGCTGGCTGATGGACGGACTGACTGCATCCAAAGTGGTGAAACAAGAGGTTGATGGTGAAGGGGAGGACGTGGATACACAACCACTGGGCTACCAGGGCAAAGGTCTGGTTTGAGCCTGCTTTAACTCAGTCGACTTAAATTAAAGAGTTCTTTTAGCAACAACAGACATTTCCACTTTGGGAAAACAAGCCCAAGCTACGTAGAGTTTATGATAGTTTTAATATGTGTATACTTTATGCACATTGGTCATATCTCTTTGGAATGGAACTCTTCAATCTAAGTGCACTGAAGTGTATCTGTTGTCGAGCAAAAACCTCAAAAATCGAATCTGGTTTTTATCAAAACCTTTGAAAATGGATGAACTAAAAATTGCATGATTGCCTTTTTGACCCAACAACAGTGACATATACAGTATGTCAAAAGGCAAACGCCCTCCTTTGACACTGTCTCAAACCAGAGCTGCCAAAGACCTTACTTGCTGGTAGAGTTGTGGCCTTGGCGCTGAGTTCTCGATCATAGTGTGAATCATGAAGATTAGAGGCTCATTCTCCTTCGTCTAGGGGAGCACCATGGAGAAAGAGTATACAGTGGTGTAACAACGCAGCTGTAATTGTTCTGCTCTGTAACCATCACAAATAAATGCCTAACCCCAACCTTTACCCTAAACCTGACCTAAACCTAATTCTAACCTGAACCTTAAAACCAAGTCTTAACCATCAAACAACACTTTGAAAGTAAAATGTCCTCACAACAACAATTTCAACCTTGAGTCCACACAAACATACAAAACATGTACACCAAGACACACCTAAAGGTCATATTACTCTTGCGTACACACAGTTCTGTGCAGTCATGTTCGATAAAATATATGTTTTGAAATAAAAAGGCTGAATGGAGAATAGGCTGCTGTGCTACATCTTTGATGTACATGAATCCAGATAAATGACTGAGGATAAAAATGTTTGACTGAACCTTTTAAAGAAGAACAACTCTTTAAATAGACTTTTTGTACTAAGTAAAAAAATATTTTTTTATTTTTCCAATTAGTATCCAAACTGCTCCCTCCTACTTAACCTGTCCAAGGCTATTCTCTTCCCACAGCACATGACCTTTTCAGAGCCAAGTGGTCGTATTCAATAATGCAAGAACTTTGGGAAGGAGAATTCTAACCCACGGGCCAGAAATAAACAGCACATTTAGACGGTTGCCATGATCAGGGTATGTCTCTGTGAACTGTCGACTGGTTAATCTTCCAATTAGCCCGGCACACTGAGCATCCTGCAATACAATGTTAATGAGGTTGCAGTAGGAACCTCCATATTGTTTCTAACATTAGTGACAAAAACAGTTAGGGCCACGTTGTTTGTATCTACAATTAAACAACTTCATCTAGTGGTTGTACACCATACACATCTTTTCTTAACATACTGGAAACCAAATCCCAGCTATTATCTTATTTTAGGATTTTGAAATTGACATTTACTTCCCAGCACTTTCCCTTAGTTTGTTGTTTGAGTTGTTCTTGTCTGGATTGTACAAGGCTGACATTTGCAAGCAATCAGCAAGGCTGAGTGTTGCTGCACTTGGGCACATACAAATAGGGAAGCGAGTGATGTTTAATACAGCTCCAAGCGCTGCGCATAATGGTTGTGATGGTTCTGAAAATTTAAAACAGCATTACTGTGTTAGCTATTTTACTATCTATCCTTCAAGGAACTAACCAGTGTTTATGCATATTTTAAGCTAATTTGCCATATCAGAGTCCTTTACGTTTACTGCTGAATATTCTAACGCATACCCAAAGTTTTCATATTGATTTTCTACCTTCCAGACTGGCCTCGGTTTAATTTTATTTCAGTATGCTGTAAATTTAGACAATTAAATATGGATGTAGTGTGAGGTGATACAGTTAAACTAGATCTTACATAATAGTATAGAGGTCCACCTTGAAATGGAAATGCTCTAACAAGCTTAACACATTCTGCACCATGTTTCACTTTCAACATCAGTTGATATTTTGCTTAGATTAGAATTTTTTTGGTAAACAGGCAAAGAAAAGTAGCAGGAAATAGAGACAGGAAACAGACATTAATCCATATTTTGGATCAGAAGTTTCTCACCTGGCTGTCCAGGTAAATAAGGTTCCTCTGGAGGTGATGGGAAAGAACATCAGTCTGCAGTAGCCGCAGAACAAGGAGAGAGAGGAAGCAGGAAAAGTGAGGCCATGTTGTTTGGTAGACATGGACAGAGGAAGACAGGAGGAAGAGGGAGATGAGAGAGAAAGGGAAGGAAACAGGGAGTCAAAGGCACATTTCAACTGGAAAGGGGAAATCGTGAAAAGAGGAAGAGGAGGATGTGATAGAAGGTCATTTGAGACGAACTGACTGACAATCATAAGGGCACTAGCAGAATAAGAAGGCTCATGACCTCATTTTGTAGGCACGAGTGGAATAACAAGTTTTTAGACTGGGCATCAATAAAGCAAAATCCAACAAAATGCAAAGGAAATTGACTGAATAAATCATAACGTACATGAAGCATGCGATTTAAACATTCAATAAAACTTCTGCTCTACATAACAGGCTCAAACAGCTGCAGACAAGAGCATCAGATCACTTAAATTCCTTAAATTATTATATGGAACAAACATAAATGTCATATTTCCATCTGTTTCTCATTGTTTGAGGTTTGACCGACGCTCTTTTAATTGCGTCATCTTGTTGCACTTTCTTCTTCAGACGATTACCACCAGCTGTTTATCTTAACAAACCATCTGCTAATATTTGCATAACAGCAGTTGATGGAAGCATTCAGTGCATTCATTTGCATTTTCTTTTACAGAATTTCCGCAAAATATTTTTATCATAACGTAGTGTTCATGTAGGACTGGGTGATACATTCAGTAGATATTTATAGCCAGGAAACTCCCAGTAGTAAAGTGGATATGATGTCAAAATTGTTAGAAAGAGTCACTGCTCATTTCAGTCAAGTATAAATCAAAAAGACTTAGTAATGCAGCCTTACAAGTGACAAGTAAAATAAAAAGCCCAAAATCCCAAATCATACAGTATCCAGTCTCATGTCACAATAAATTATATTACCCTGCTCTTAACACATGCATTTTGTTAAGCTGTCACTAGTCAGGATGACAAATCTGCGATATGAATCATAAAATTCGCAAAACTTCGAGCAGTCAACCCACAACACATGGCAACATGCTACACAGTGTTTCCACATAACAATTTTGAAACCTGGAATACCAAATATGTTGCACACTTACTGTACATGCATTATAAAATAACTCTGAGTCTTCCAAATAAACTGTCTTAGAGCTGATCAAGTTAATACATACATGAAGACAAACACACTGAGGGGTTCAGACCACAACTTGAAGCTGAAAACAAATGGCATGTTGTTAAATGCATCAGCTCTGATGCATCCATGCTTTCCTGGCTCACAGCCGACATGCACGGACAGGGGAAGTGCTGCCATGCAAACACACACACACAGACATAAGTATAAAGGTAAGCCCATGTATCAAGGCACCAATCCCCAACATGAAACTGACAGACCCATCGGTCAGTGCATACACTGATGCCACAACAATACTGTGCAATGAAATTGAATTTGGCGTGTTCACACAGGCAGAATGACGGGCTTTGATACTAAAATTAATGTCCCAAAATGCATCACCTGCAATTTGATCAGCAGTGCCAGGTGACTGTGACACCCAGTTCTATTCTGACACCTTCAGTAAATTTGACTGTGGTTTGGGTTTATTATCATTATTTATTCAATATTTTCTTGGCTCGAAAATCATTAAGTGTGTTCTAAAATATATCAAATTAATATCATGTGTTTATCTTTATTCTCTCTCATATTTGGAACACCCAGTGTTCTTGCACCGCAGCTCTGGTTTCTTATAACTCCACTGTTGACCTGCAGAGGAACGACATGTGCTGCCTCTGTGGCACCTGGTGTCATCAGCTCACTGTGACATGTTATACTTTTAACATGCTAGCTCCTTATGATCCATCATCAGAAATGTCTGGAGAACCCTACAGTCATTAGGATACATCCTCTGTGTCTGTATAACATTTTGTGACAGTGTAAAACATCCGTTTGATGTCACGCTATTCAACTGGTAGAAACTCTAGTCTGCTGGTAACACTTGAGAAATGTCTGGAGAACCCTACAGGCTTTCAGATACATCCTCTATGGACCATGAATGTCTGTTCAAAAATTCATATTCCAGCCTGGACCAAAGAGATGGAGCACTCGACTTTAACTGTCTACACAGTAAGAAATGTCTAAGTGAGTGTACTGTCTTTAGCTCACAGAACCTTTCAGAACACACCAATGTTCAATTTTATTTGGAGCAGACAGCCAGTCTTACTCAGGCAACATCCTCTTGCGGACACACACAAAAACACACAACATGTGGGATTTTGGCTGGAGGAAGCACAAATGCGTACATGCACACACATGTATGTATACACTCAGTGCTGACCTTGGCGTTGGGCCCCTCCATACCCAGGGCCATTAGCTGAGCTACTGTGTGCTCCCGCAGACTGTTGAGCTCCGCCTGCTGCCGGCGGAGCTTGATCAGCAGCAGGGTCAGCTCCTCGGGCTGCACAGAGCAACACACAGAGGAGAGAAGAAGAGCTGCCTCACTGAGATCAACAACACCCACTGACTCACGGGAATGGAACATTACTCTGGTGCCCTTTAGGAAGAGAGGAACCACTGGTCTGCCAGGACTGTTTAATACGCCTATAAAGACAATTATAATCCTTAAATAAGAGATTATGTATTTAATCTGGTACCAGATGAATCTAGATGAGTAGCCTATTAACTTTACTGTTCAACCATACAGAGTGGTGTCCATAGTTCAGGACTGAAAAAGAGAAAGCTTCAGATTCGTGGAGGGGAGCCTCAGTGAAAGATCTGGGATTGATATCATAGAAGTAGCATCACTTGATTATTTCTGGCCACCAGGGGGCAGAACGACTGCACAACAATCTTACAGAAACACAGCCCTGACATAGGTTTCTAAATGAGGATTTTACCAGAGGCCGCAGGAATGAGTCCTAAAACCCTGGAAATGAGTTAGCATTTTAGCACTTCAAGTTTCCCCATCTCAAGGTCTATAGTTTTTGGTTACATGGCTGAAATAAGGTCTGTGGTTAACACAAGATTAAGATATTTTCATGTTTTATTCTATGACATAAAATACATCAATAAATACCCCAGTCCTGATTTCTTAAAGCTTTTACGTCTCTTAAAAAGGCCGGTGGCTAACAAGAGGCTAAATGAGACTACAGATGTTGTCAGGGAGGTTAAACGTCATCACACTGAACACGAATACTGATCTACTCACCAGTCCACCTTTACAGCCTCGTTGTCCCCGTGCTCTTACAAACTGTTCCTAACTTTGTAAGAGGAAAGTCTTTTGTAGAAGAAGTCAGAGCTAAATCAAACTACAAGTTGAAAGTTTTAATAGTGGTGACATTGAAGTCATGTGACTGTGGTGTAGTTGGTTTATAGCCATTGGCTTTTTACTTCTGGCGATTGTCAGAAAATCGTCTTCAGAAATCATAAAAGTGATATTGATTTGTGATTTTGATTATCGTGCTGAACAACACTGGCTTTTTGTCAAGGGAACCAGGGTGATGCTAACATCCGGGTTGGTCTACAAAAATATGTCATCTCTGCGGTGCTCTATAACTCTGCTAACTGGTATATAACAAGGTAGCGCAGAAAAGGTATGAGACTCTGAACTGTTACAACAGCTGCTGTTTTAATTCTTCAAATCTGAAAAGATTCTTACATTTGACATGTGGCTAGGTAAGATATAACACATAGCACCTGGAGAAAACTCAATATAAGATATTAACTAGAGTGGAAAAGTTGTGTGTTAGCTGCTTGATCTATTACATGTCAGCAACATGGGTCAAAACATCTGAGTTACCACCATCTACTTTGAGTTTTACTGTTGGTATGAAAAACTGCTGGATGAGGGTAAAAAGCTACTGAGTTATTTCATTTACAGATTACAAAGACGTCTCTCCCTCCCCCTTACCCTCTCTCTCTCTCTCTCTCACACACACATACACACACACACACACACACACACACCCACACACACACACACCCACTGAAAAGGAAGGCAGCCACCGTGACAAAACAGTGAAGTGCAAAAAGCGGTGTGGAAATTACTGGACAACGTCTTTCTGCCGAGGCGTCGACTGTCATCAAGCAATCACAGTATTATTCACAGTTTGCTTCAAACAGAAATATCAGCTCTCACTCTTGATTGCTGTTACTTCAATTTGAGAGCAAAGGCAATTTCACTTGCGCTGACGCATTGCGGGTGTATATGTGTCTGTGTGTGTGTGTGTGTGCATGTTTGCATTGTTATTATGAGACACGGTGTTGTCAATAATTACACTGGCCCTGCAGAGACAAGTGGAAAAAAACACGGCAAAAAGAGGCCAAGAACAAAACAACAGTTGTGTGCCAGTGAGTGTGTGAGTGTTCGTCAATGATGGACGGCAGAGGGTGTTTATTATTTGGGTAATTGGATTCACGCTTTCTAAGAGTTCACAGAGAGCAGGTGGTGAGGAGGCTGACTCTCACATAGTGGTAAGGAGTGTGTGGGAGGAGAGGGTGTAACACTCACCGTCTTGCCTTGCAGGGACTGTGGGGTGATGGTCTGAGGAGGGACGCCAGCTGCAATGGATCGCCGGTCAGTTGGGTAGCCGTACTGTGGGAGAAGGATGTACGTGCACTCATTTCAGTTCAGATGATATTAATGACTTAAACCAGTGATTCCCAACCTATTCTGTCAGACGTGCCCTCACACCCGTATATCATGAATATGTTCATTTAAATATTCAAATATATTTTAGATATAAAATTTGATATAACAGTATTTGATTATTTAGTATTTAGTTTGTATTATCAATTTCGGATTATGTCTTGTTTGCACTGCAGAAACCATGGTTTCGCATAAAACAAAATCTGCAAAACTGTTCCCAGGCCTTTACAAGACCCTGATCTGATATCTACAGTTAGTTGGAAACATTGCTGCCAGGATCCACATTAAAACTCATTTGTATGCCTCTTTGGACAAAAGCATCTGCCAAATGAATAAATGTGAATTTAACGTAAAACTGAATTAGCATATATACACAATATGTGAGCCACACTCCAGTGTCACCCTGCCACAATAAATAAAAATGGCATAATGGTAGTAAATGACTGGCAGTAATGTAAGTATACATGATTTGTAGTTAATTAGCTAATGCGGCAGAAGCATTGTAATGCTGTTTAACTACGTTCATTCAATGATTTAACCAAGAGGAACATCATTGCATCAAAAGAGGGAGAATATGAAAATGAAAAGGTAACAATAGGAAACATTTAGCCACAGTTTCATCCTGCTATCTATTCACCAACATCTGCTGTCTTTGTTTGCAAACACAGAAAAACACTGATTAGACTCAATTAATGTCACTGTAATTAATTCAGCCGCTGTGGACAGTGGACTCAAAGAAATTTATCACACTGAAGCAGAACATTGTTACAACTGAAAAGACTAAAGTAAAATAAACATTTCTCTGAAAGCCATTTAATCTTGTATTCGATTTTACATATTTGAATATGACTGGATGGGCAAAGCAGGAAACTGCTTTTGGGGCCGCAGACACTGAGGTGTCCCTAAGGCATCAGGCTCAACTATTTTGTGTATTGATTCATTGAAAATTTATTTTGTAACATCCACCACTAAAGCACATTGTCAGCTGAAATGGTGAGGGCCTTAAGGTGGTCCTGCGATTTTACCTAACCTTATTATTCAAAATAACATTTTTATATCATAACCAAAGTAGTATGGGGGTGGAGGGTTTTAATAAGGGCCTACAACTCGTTTGCCTTGAGACTCCCTCTCACATTTATACGACTCTGCAGTACAGCTATTTTATTTTACATCCAGAAACAAGTGTTAGTAGCGCTACAGTACTACTACAGCATAAACAAAATGGCTCTAGATTTTGCATGATTATGAAATAAGATGATTTTTGATCGGCTTTGTCGAATTCCTCAATAATTGTCAAGTCTGGCCTCTGATCTATCCATTTCACATATATGTGTGTTTCTACAAAACAATAAGACTAGGTCAAAACCTATTATATGGTGGACTGCGTTGTAAACTATTTGCATTCTGCCTAGTGTCAGCCGGCTTCAGCCCTCTATCTGGTTGCTTCTCTCCTCCTCTCTGTGCTCACGGTGAATGCTGCCGTTACCAGCAGACCTTCTCGAGAGGTGGCCTCAGTTCGGTTCACTTCAAATATGTTGCATGCTATGATGGCAACCCTGCAGGCTGTAAATGCTCCCTAATAGAAACCGTGTACACCAATTCATTTTGAGAGAGCAGCTTCCAATGGGGAAACTCCTACTCAGTCACGTGGCATTTGGCTGAACAATGTTGGAACTATGATCACTCAGTCAGTCAGTCAGATTATAGGGTTGGCCCTGCTGTTGAGATCCAGGCAAAAAAAAAAAAAATCACTTCTCACTCTGTCCTCTTAACTCTCATGGATTCAGCTCTACTACACTTCAGTGTTTCTTAATCCAGTGGAGCTCTGAGTGGCTTCCTCCTCTGTCCGGCTGTGAATACAGAGCAGAATGTGTGTCACACGGTGTATTAACATGAGCAGTCTACTGTGTCTCAGTCAGAGCACAAACTTGGTCCGAGGTGCCACTGTGGCTCACAGCCAGCGGCCAGGGACTGGACTTGGGTTTTAGACTTGTGACAGGAAGATTGGACTCATCCACTGAAGTGAGAATCATCCACTGACTGCAAACTCATCTCTGTATCTTGTTTGTCTCTTCCTGGAGATTCTCATGGGGAAATCAGAAGTTATACTTAGAGAAGAACTTCTTGTTTTTCTGTCAAACCCGAAACCAAACCGAGTCAGACGTCATTATAAGGACGGGACATTCTACGAGCTGTCAGTGCACCCAGCATTTGTTGGTCAAGAAATACAGTGTAGTGGAAACATGTAACTTCTCTTGAGAGCCAGTGTTTTATTAGATTTTTATTGCTACATGTGCCAAATCAGTAATCACCAGACTGTGCATTGAGACTAACCTTATCATCTTTATGAGGTTCCACGTCAATCACAAAGCTTTTCAGCTGAAATATATTTTTTATCATTTTATTACTGAACAGAATTAATCAGAATTGGCTCCATCAGCTGGTCCCTGCTGAAAACAATGCCACAGTGGTTTTGCTGTGAAGAAACAGACCAGAACTCTCTACCAGCATGTTTGGAGAGGATGCAGCTTAGATAAGTTACTAGCAAAAAGTTTGACAAGGCTGCAAAAAAAAAACCCAAAAAATGTTTTCCTATAGCTGTGTGTTTAATTTCAGATAATTCAGAGCAATTACTTCCTGTTGCCTTTTAGTGTCCTTTGGGGTCTGTGCAGGCATCTCGCCTCACCGGTATCACTGAGTAGATGGGTACTGATAATGTTCTGGGTGGTTTTAATCACCTGCTGCAAAGCCTGCCTGTCCTGAGGCCGTGCACATCCCAGTTTGTGTTGTTTCCAGTCAGGATGTTTTCTATTGCTCCTATATTGCTAAAAGTTAACAAGAACTTAGCACAGGAATTTAGCCTTGTTAAGTTGTGATGGCCATGACAGTTCCTCTGTGGTGCTGATTCCCAGGAAACTAAAGCTGTTCGCCTGCTCCACTGATGTAGACAGGTGTGTGTGTCTTTGCCTTCTTGTTTTAGTCTTTAGTTTTTTTGATGGTGAGCAGTAGCTTGTTCTCTGTGCACCAGTCCTCCTGATGTGAATTCTCTTCATTGTTTGTAATCCAGCTGATGGTGTAGTCGTCTGCAGACTCATGGGTCATGGGTGTAGAGTGTGAACAGGAAGGTTCTGAGCACACCACCCTGGGGGATTCCGCTGTTGAGCACTAGAGTTGAGGAGGTGTGACTGCCAGTCCGAACTGTCTGGGGTCTGTTTACTAGGAAGTCCAATAACTGCAGAGTGTGGTCCTCAAGCCTAGAATGTTAGGTTTGTACTGAATGCTGAGCTAAAATCAACAAACAGCTGATGCTGAGTGGAGGACAGTGCAGAGTGCATCCTCTGTGGATCTGTTGCTTCTTGCTGAAACTGGTGAGTGAGTGCCACAGAGTGGGAGTCATTTAGACATGGCAGACTCTTGGTGGCTGTGTGGAGGCAGGTGTGAACACTCTTCAGTGACAGTGATATTTTAAAAAATGTCAGTAATAACATAATCTGTCTGTCTGGTTTATCAGACCCAGCAGTTTTAGACTCATCTGCACTCTCAGCAGGATTCTTTCACATCTGCTGTGGATACTGACGGAGGCAGGTAGACTTTACAGCTGACTCTCTGTTGAGCAGATCAAAGCCAGTATAAAATGTATTATAAGCTCATCTGGCAAAGTGGCCTCACACATGGTGGGTGGGGTGGGGGTGGGGGGTGGGGGGGCGCTCCTGCTTTTGTAGCCTGTGATGTTATGATCAACTGCCACATATCCTTGGTGTTGCTGCTGTTGAGATCTCTCTCCAGTCTCTGCTGACGTCTCCACTTTCAGTCTTGCTCTGTTGCTCTGTTGATGGCTTCCTTGTCACCTGACTGAAAGGCAACTTTTTGGCTTTGTGGTTGGGAAATGATTTTATGGTCTTTGTGATCACCACTTCTTTAAAACATTTGCTGATGTTTGATGCCACTGATGGCATATAAACCTTAAGATCCTGGGTGGCAGTATTAAATTAAAACTAATGTTTTAATTTTATCTTTTTAAAAAACCTCTTTTAAAATCCTTCTACTTTGTTTTTAATGTTTCTACTTTTTGTATTTGTCTTTTATTGTGTTTTTTCAAATTTTTTGAAACATATTGTATCACTTATTTTGTATGATGTCCTAAATACATGAAGTTTTATTATTGTGAGTTCGATGCCATGCCCTCTACCTTGGCGAGCTGTGTCCTTTGTCGGCGGTCCAGCGTCACGTCCCCCCTGAACACAGGTGAGGACACCTCGGACTGGGAGTTGGTGGGGTTGTGGGCGACCTGCTGGCGGGGAGGGGAGAAGGTGCTATAGAGAGCCAGGGAGCCGTGAGACGGTGAAGTGGGGATGGAGTGCGTCATGGCATGTTCAGAGATGTTGCCCATCGTCTTTGTGCTGGGCAGGGTGCCATAGTGACCCACAGCTGCATTCACAACAGCAGGAGGGAAAGAGAAAGTCACAGTGGAGTCAGAAGCTTTTATTGCCCACAACGATTTCTGTGATGATCATGAAACTGAGTGCTCTTACTATAGGACAGGAAGTAGGATCTAGTACCTGTTGGCTGAGCCAGACTTTGCCTGGAGAAGGCCTGCCTCTGCTGCCACTCATACAGCTGCCACATGGTGTCATCCCTCATCGACCTCCTCTTCTCCGCTGTGGTGACGGAGGAGGTGGAGGCAGGGCGGAGGGCGCGGTCATACACAGAGCCCGCCACACTGCAGATGCTGTCGGGCCTCATCATGCTGTTGCGGGGCAGCGTGCGATAGCCCTCTGGGTAGCGGGGAACAATCTGAGCACGGTGGCTGGGCATGTTCCTGGGTAAGGTCTGGTAGGATGTAACGCTGACAGAGAAAACAGACAAACAGAGGAGAAATGAGTACTGCTGGAGTCTTTGGGGATCACAACATCGGCTTCACCATGTGAACAGTCAAAGCAACACATTTTAGTAATGACCTGAAACTGTTCGCTACGATCACTGAGCCACAGTAAAATCTTACCTGATATGGCTCCCCCTCCCTCTCCTACTGTCCCTGCTCTACCTGCCTGTTCCTCTTCAAAGAAAACATGACATTGTGTAACGTTATCTCTGGCTGTGCACCTGTTCATGTTCACACCAAACCAGTAATCATCTACTTCGGCTGCTATGTTTATCATTTATCATCAATTGTAAACACTTTACCAATTTACTGTTTAACATTGCATTTAATAAGATATTGAACAGGAAAACATAGATTTTTCTAAAGGCTGGCTTAGCTTAGGTTAGCTAGGAAAGGCAGGTTAGCTAGCGGCTAGCCACTCAACATGTACTGTACTACTGTTTTTTATTACACCATTTAACTCTTGACGTTTTGAAAAAACAAAACAATCTTCTTATGTCTATCTGCTATTTAGAACGGCATATTCCAGTGTCATAGTGCGATTTGTTTTTTTGATAAGAACAACAACTTAGCTAACAAGCTAACACCAGTTTTAATTACTCACCAATGCTAATGACACATGATGCTAAACAGGGAAACTCTGAAGCCCTTCATAATTTATAAATTTATTAGTCATCAGCTGAGATGAGTTATTTATACTTCAGTTTACACAGCCAGTTAAGAATAGCCGGAAGAGCTAGCTAGAAGAGCTGGTGACATCATTGAATTGAAGTCAGTCACTAGCACTTAAAGCCCGTGCTAGCCACCAGTTTCATCACTATTGAGAATCAGCCTCCATTTCTCACAGAAATCACAGTCTAGTGCTCTCTACAGCTCTTCTTTTGTTGAGGACATGATAATTGTATCATTCGCATAATCAGTACAATTAGCTGAATATAACTATCATGTTGTTGTTAAAATTAATGGGCTGATGACCAGTCTTCAGCAGATACTTCTCTAAATCGTTCATAAATAAAACAAATAGCAGTGGTGATAGAACTTCACCCTGTTGGATTTCATTTAGTGCCATTACCAAAAATGATTTGATATTAATCTAAATGTAGCGTCAAAGATTTTTCCCTTGATAATTTTAGCAGTTTATGTCATAGTGCATCTCTCCAAATTGAATTGTTTTACTCTCGTCAGTAAAGGAACAAAGCGTCCACACATTCCACATAAACACCTGCATTCACTCTTACTGTATCAGCAGCCAGTGAATCAGTGCCATTAATCAGTGTGTACTGAACAGGAACCAGTGCAATTATCTGTATGTGTGTGACTTGACATGTATGGTGTGCTTGACTGGATTTAATTATCAAACTGCTTTCATTAACAGAATGCTGCTTCACTTTTCGCTCTGACCTGCTCACATGAAGTAACGAGGAGCTCGTTATCGTTACAGCCATTAGCAACTAATCATAAAATGGAAGCCCTTGTTCTCTGGGACTGTGGTTTTGACCTTATGAGTCCACGGTGAGATATAATATAGTCGTTGTCACTCTGACTGTCTACCACCATTCTTCACTGGGACAGGTAGAGTGCCACAGTCTTTGTTCATCTCATTCAACCTCTGTGTTCAGCAGAGAGGGGAAGACAAGCTGATATCCTGACCTGCAGGATCTGAACTGAAGGACTACACCATGATTGTGCATGTTTTAACCCATTTATTACGCATTACGGTGGATGTACATATTATTATTATTACTACCTGTCACTTTCCACTGTCAAGGCAGCCAGTTCATCCCACCAGGCTGTGAAAATGAGACAGTGTCAGATTTTTGTTGTTGCTGGGTGATAATGTTTGTCTGGCAGTCAGACTGAACGGCCATTCATTCAGCCTCACACTGCATTCATTTTAGTCACTAATGGTTGCTAGGAGCAGTTAATCTTTCAGCTGATAATTGAATGTGTCAGCGTCGGAGTCGTCATTTCTACCTACAGTATACAACTGTGCTTATGTCTCTGTTTTCAGAGATGTAGCTGTTTTTCTGGCTCTGGCACAGGAAGATAACATCCCTGTTCTTATAAGGTCAGTAAGCCTCAGGCTAAGTTCTTGTTGGATCATCAAACTGTGCCTGAATCCCCCTCCCTGTTCCCCCCTCCCCCCACAGCTTTCCAAACACCAATCCATCAGTCATACCCACTTCATGCAGTGACTGGTCAGGTGTGCAGAGGAGAGAAAATAGGTTTTGAACTTTCTCTCAGGATTTCTTCCTCATTCTTCCCACAATTGCTTTTTTTTTTCTTTTTTTTTTACTTTTTGTGTGCACAAATAAGTCAACACCATGGACAACAGCAGTTTTGCTACAGAACTTTGCACGGATGATTAGTTCCTCTAGCTGGTGGAGACAACCATAAATGAGCACTACGCTGAACAAAGCACAGATATGGATAGCCAATCTTAGGTCTAGAAGCAGCCTATGAAGTACTTCCATGTTGGTGTGTTAAAGTTCTTGTGGGAAACATTTTTAAAACAAGTAATGTTCCAACAATCGTTCCTTATTAAATTTTGCTCAGCAGCTGAAGCTCAGTTCTCAGATCAGATTCCCATAAAGGCATCTAAAATGCAGTCTGTTGAAAAGTATTCACTGGCTGCTAGAGGATCTAACTAGCAGCACAATATTCCACAAAGCTCAACTTACACATTTGTACGGGCACAAAGGTTTATGGGATGTACATTACATGGGATTACATTATCCGCCCATGACCACGAGGGTCAGCACAGACACATGCACGACATCCACATACAGACCACATGTGAACATGTACACCTGTACGTATGTGTTCAAATCACACATATCGTGCTCACGGAGCCACAATAATATACACACATAGACAGGTAATGGTGTCACAGAAGGTAAAGATGAAGGTAAGAATGCAAAGAAAAAAAATATTTCTTCCTCTATTGAAATGGGGTCCAAAAGCCTGCGACAGCTTTTCCCTTCACTTGAGGTGGACCACATGTGACAGTGATTTCAGTGTCAATAACCCATCAAACTACAATGTATATTTAAAAATGGTGTTTCAGTTTAAGCAGTGCTTGTAACTAGTAGAACTGTGTCAGCCGGTTTGAGAGGAAAACACCTTAACCCAGTCAGTGGGACATGCAGCCACAGGGGAATGCTGCCCCCATTCAGGCCTTTGAAGGGGACATTCACCATAAAAAAAAAAGACTTCCTTTCTGTCAACTAGGGCAGTTTATCAATTTTCCTTTTACTTTACCATATTTCACACCACACCAAAAACAAGAATTTTTGCTGACACCAAAACAATGACACTGACTCTGAACGCCCTCCAAGTCTGAGGGAACATTTGGCAAAGGAGAACGCCAGAACCAGCAAGATTATGAATTAATTTCGATGAATTATTAATTACTCTTTTGGACACAAAATCTTCTCCAACAGAAAGTCAACAGACTGTTGGTCTCCAAAACTCAGTCAGTGGAGCCTTGCTTTCTGACAGTACAGCAGACTGATGCTACAGTTGATCTAGCTATAGTTAAGTTTTAAAACTTAATTTTGCAAAACTGTAAAACTGAAAAAAATTATACAATGAAAAATATTGCATATGGCAGGAAATATCCAATATCCACCCAAGCTTAGTCCCACCCTTTCCTCATAGGCTTTCTGCAGGAAATGCTGAGTTCCACTGACAGTAGCTGAACAGCAGTCAAAAACCAGCAAAGTAGAAGTGACTGGAAAAATATTTAGTGAATAAATAATGTGAATAATGTACGTTATAATGAATTTAACATGTGAGGCATTACATGTTATTTACTTAATTAGCAATCACTCTTTGTTCATGCTGGACACACCTCTGGCTATTCTTTGACTACTGCCTTTATTTAATAGTAATAATGGAAAAGTAAGCGTTACCATGTAATTTGTTAAAACATTACAGCTCACAATGACGTGCACTTGAAGTGTACACACCGAATGTGAGCTGAAAGTAGAATTGACTTTTTTAATTGCTGTCAGACAGCAGCTTAAACTGTTTGTTTTACAGGATCCTCACAAAGAATGAAAAAGGACACATCTGGGAGAGTATGAAAAGGCACGCACGCACGAACACACACACACGCACACTCACACACACACACACACTAACAATGTTGCACATGGTTGTTATCAGTTCATTCACCACTGCACTACGGCCTGCTATACTCACCTTAAATAACACAGCTGTTAGCAGAAGCAAGGCTCTGTGTTAACAACAATAACAATCAGTCATACAAAGTTTCTCTATTTCTCCAATTTGTGCTGATAAAGATGACAAATGTGTTCCTGCAGCGCTCAGCGTGCTCACTTCTCATTATAGTCTCATTTCTATGACTTATTCATGGCAGCAGAAGGAGAGGGGCAGCACTGAGAGCAAACGGAGCGTCGGCGCTCTGCGCTTCTGTTTCTCTGCATTTCTCAGTACAGCCGGCTAAATGCCAGCTAAACGCCGGCGCTCCCAGCTGAGATACACATCTGTGGTGACACAAAAAGCTTTCAGCTCCCTCTGGCCCGCAAGGTCAGCACAAGGACGAGAGAAGATACATGGGGAACAAGGGGGCGGACTGGAGGGATGGGATGTCAGAGCGAGAGATGAGAAAAGGTTTTCAATCTTGTGGAGGAGGAGACCTGACGGGACAAGAGGTCGCCCTCGCATTGTAGTGAAGAAAGAAGGTGGAACTACACGTGATGGCGTGTGTGTAGGGTTGAAATGTGTGTCATCAAAGTGTGCTGAAAACACACAGAACCACTGATGTTTTTAAATTGGAAATGAGGCTGTGGCACAGAGGATTAGTGAGCTCCAATAACCTGATGTTTCCTTCATAAACAACAGAATACACGGTCAGAAGGGACCAGTCTGATGTGTGTAGAGGTGTGTGTGCTTATTGTGGAGCGGCCTTGTGTCATTTGCATGTGGCACTTCAAATATCAGAGGCTGCCGATTTATCAACATATCTGTCCTGCTGCCTTCAGGCGCCACAGGGATTTAATGAAGTGAAGGAGAAGCTTTGTGCTGCCTGATCTGAATAAACCTCCTACCTGCTCCAGCCTGTGCATTGTGCTTGGCACCAAATTACCACACAGACAGGCAAAGAGAATTTCAAGGTCAGGAACATAATAAAAAGTTGGAGCGTGTCTTGCACTGGTTGTGACATGTTAGAAATTCTGATCCTCACAGACAGCCCCCTCATGAAGGGGAGACTGGACAAAATACAGTCTCTACATTTTGGGTTTGGATGTTGCTAAATGTCCTAAATGACCTCAAATGTTCCCAAAAACAGAACAGTACGATTACAGAAACACAAACGCACACACAGTCAGTCTCACCTCCTGGTGTCATCATCCAGTCCTCTTGATCTGTGTGTGCGGACCCAGTGCTCCAACTGCTGCATGGAGCTAGTCCTGGACAGGCCCCTCTCTGGCTCCTGCACTGGAGCCGGGGACGTTACTGGACCCCGGGCCAGGCTGCCATCCACCTCTGCCGGGCTGCAGTCTGCAGTCTGCTCCCCTGTCCCGGACCCGGACCCGGACCCAGAGCCGTTAACCTGCGCAGGCTTCTGGACGTTGAGGTTGGCCTGGCCCTGGCGAGATGCAGACACCGCGGCCGCGATGGCGGCGGCCTGAGCGGGCTGAAGCTTGATACTGCTGATTTTAGTCAGAGACCTCTCTGCGCTGGGGTCTCTCTGGAAGCCATATTTATCACCGTCACGGACTGTAGCGTACTTCTCTGCGTCTCTGAGAGTAGCATATTTGTCCCCTTCTCGTAGCGTACTATATTTCTTCACTTCCTTCAGAGTGCCGTATTTGTCCACGACTTGTATGGTACCATATTTATTCTCCATCTCCCTCAGTGTGCTGTACCTGTCTGTCTCCTTTAGCGACAGCTGTCTCTTCACCTCTTTCTGAGGAACATATTTCTGTCCATCTTTTTGGAGCGTGTGCCGGTCTCCAACTTTCTGCAGTGCATATTTTTCTCCATCCTTCGTGAGCAGATACTTCTCTCTGTCTTTGGACGGAGCGTATTTCTCCTCCGTCGGCGCCACCGTGTACTTCTCGTCCACTTTCTGAACAGTGTACTTCTCCAGATCCCTGTGAATGGCGTACACCTCTCCGTCTTTCTGCAGCGAGTATTTCTCTCCGTCTTTCCGCAGCAAGTACCTCTCTCCATCCTTGTGGAGGAGGTACTTCTCTCCATCCTTCTGAAGCAAGTAGCTCACCCCGTCTTTCTTCAGAGAGTACCTCTCCCCGTCTCTCTGTAAGGTGTAGTACTCCCGCTCCCTCTGGCCGTTGTGTTTCTCCGCATCTTTCTGCCGTTTGTCGTCGGCCCGAGATAGGGAGTGTTGTCGCAAAGGTTCACGGTTGCGTTCGTTGTTCTGGATCTCTGGCCTGGTCAGGACTCTGTGGTTCAGTAAATTGTTCAGCTCCTGAGGCGTTCGTTGGTCCACTTTCAACTTGTCTGATCTGGGAAGAGAGACCGAGTTAGAAAAAAAGGAGGTTGTTACAAAGAATAACAGAAGGAGTTCTTGAAGAGATTTCAAAGACAACCCTAGTGTCAAAACTCTTGTGCTTGTCTGACAGCTCTTCGATCTCTATAACCCTTCCTTTCACTTTTAAAAAGTTTGTGATCTCAGCCAGAGAACCCCTGACAGGAGGGAGTCTGGGTTCACTGGACATTGATATATTACCAGCCGTGAAGAACTGCAGCCTTTCCTCAAGAATAATCTCATTTTCACAACCAATGCTTTAAACTTGAACATTATGAACATTTCCCTCAGTGTTGAGGGGCAGGTATAATCCATCCAGTCTTAAGCCCCCTTCCCCAGTCCCCCCTCACCTTTACCACATTCACACCCACTTCATGGTGCGCTTCATGCCAGCAGTCAACCGAGATCGTCTCAAAATGTTTGTTGTCCCCCCCACCCACCCCCACCCTCTTGGATCAGGTGTAAACACTTTTGATTCCCGACAACACTATAGCTGAACTCTCTAAATTAAAGGTCGTCATCACTGCTGGAAGATTCATCATTATCATCAGACCCAGCCTTGCACATCATGGTTGTGCGAGGTTGGTGGCTGTGTTTGATTTGGGTCCCTCCGTAGGTACAGTGTATATTTTGTCAATATGTCAAAGTGCACGAGATGTCAATCATCGCATGCGATTGGACAGTATCTTTAATTATAGTATATTCTATTATATTCTCAAAGTGGACTGTTTCATTTCACTTTGCGATATAAAGTTATGCTATGCATGTTTCACCTGGTCTTGTTAGCGAACAGGAGAATGCTGCTGTGAAATAGCTGCGTTTTCATCTTCCTTAATGTCTAACAGCAAATCAAATCTTTTAAATCTCATCAGATATTTGTTCAGAAAACACAGTCAGTTAAATGCAGTTCTTGCTGTCCCCAATGCGGTGTCTCTGTGGGGCACGTCAGCTACGGTGAAGCCCGCGATGTAGCTATGGAGCCTATGCATGTAGCCACAGTAGGTATGGGGTCACCCTTTAACATAAGTATTAATGAAGCCTTAGCGTGCTCGCTGGGTGACGCGTTAAATCAGTGATAAATTAAGAAAAATCAGCCTTTTTTAAACCTTTTTTTTTTTTTTTTTTAAATTACACATAATGATGCTGACCTCCATCCATCCATAATTCATTGCCACCTTTAATTCCCCTGCTTTACTACTACTCCTAGGCTGTTGGCACACTAAGGCTCCACCCCCTGATCTCCCTCCAGTGGTGATATGTTTCCAGATCACAGACGATGATCCGTGGGTGTTCCCCTGCGGTGAGCACCAACCTTCTGACTGGTTCAGTGTGGACGAGGGCAGCGTCCGTCATCACTTTCATCCAGGACTCCATCTCTTTGGCTGTGTCAGTGCAGAAATAATATGTCCGCATGTTGGGGTGAGTGGCCTGGCATTGTCGGTAGAGAGAGAGAGAGAGAGAGATAGAGAGAGAGAAGGAGGTGACAGTGAGAAGATAGTGAGAAATAGGAGGAGGACACGCAGACAGATGGAGAGAAGAGCAGATAAAAACAGCAGTGTGAGAAACAGCCTTGGATGGTGACCTTGAGATACCAGCTAGTGGTCTACTTCTCATCATTCCTGCTGGCAGAGGAGTGTGTTTGTGTACAGTCTGACTGTGTGCTCTCTGCCTCTCCATGTGTCCCAATGTGACAACACTCCAGTGTTGAAGTCTTCAAGGTTCCTCTCGGCAAATATAAAGCTGTACGAGTGAGAATGACACTGAGGTGACCGACTAACAACTTTCTTCAAAGGGCTTTGATGGGCTTTGATGGGCTTCTTTGCCTGGGGGCCCCCCAGAGTCTAAGATCACTGTCACTGTCTTGTTGTCATGGTGGGGTTGCCAGGTTGGTACCATCGTGCCTTTGCAGAGGCCAGAATCAGTGCTCACTGGCTATATCTGGCAACCCCTGCTAGAGCCAGAGATGCTACCCAAGAAACAGTAGACAAAGTGCATAAACACACACTTTTTACATATCAAGATTTAACAGTTATAAAATGTGTTAATTAGTGAGCTGAAAGGCTCCACTAGTCTCCAGCACAACTGTTTGTTGGATGGCTGAGAGCCACCACATCTTTCCAATGCTGGAATTGGGGACTGTGGTCATCAATCTCCGTAACTTTCATCAATCCAACATTCGCAGCCACTTTACACAGTGATTTGTCTGTGCAGCTGTGCAGAGGTGAGAGAGGAGCCAGGGTGTGCAAACTTTTCTTTCTAGCTGCTCTTTTTTTATCCTTGACACGACTGTTTCTGTCATTTGTTTCATGCTAACAACTGAGTTCAGAACTACGAATGCCTTCTAGGAGAGACTGTGTGAAAATGTGACAATTTGACTTCCCCCTTTCTCTGAAGAGGATTTTCACTTCACCTTCTTGAACTACAAACACCTTTAATGCTATAAGAAGTAGATCTTTTGGAGCATAACCCAGACCTTAGAGGTGTTGCTGAGTCTGTTTCCGTACTTACTTACTTGCCAGGTTAGCCGTGTCCGCCTGCTTCCAGGCTTTATGCTAAGCTAGGCTAACTCTGTCCTGGCTCCAGCTCTGTATTGAACAAACATCATCTCACTCTCAAAGGCGATTACACAAAAATTGAAAAGGTGTATTCCCCAAAATACTGAGCTCTTCCTTTAAAACTAATAAAATAATCCAGTACATGAACACTGTGCTCCTATTGGCCGACCACATGAATGATATGACTGTGGAAATGACACCTGCTCTTTAAAGCACCTGATCCATCAACCAATCAGGGTAAAATATTGTGACTTTCTACATTTGAGCACTTTAATAAACCATTTTTATCCTGAGCTGTTATGCAGAAACAAAAAAATCCTCAGTCATTAGTCATTATTAGTCATTATCCTCAGTCAAAACCTACTGAATGCTGGGAGAAGTAACCTTTGACCTTTGACCATTCTCTTACCTTGAACGCGTATTTCCTGCTGATGTGGTCGTCCACCGACAACATGGAGATGTGAAAGCTGGGCAGCAGGATACTCCCCAGGATGCTGTCCTCTTTCTCATCTGCAGCAAAGACAGAGACGACAGAGAGGAGTCAGGAGTCTGGCGGCGGACGTTTGCATTCCAAAACCACATCGAGGTTCTGTCTCAGTGGACATAGATAAATCAGGAGTCACCTGTTTCACATTAAGGCTCTGGATCAGATAAGAGTAACACACAACAAAATATTTCCTCTTTGGTTATTTGAAGTTTGGCTGTGAACTTTGTGAACCCTCCAAATCACGCGCCAGACAGAACACGATTCGCAGATGGGGCTGCGTGAGGAGATTTCTAACGGTTGATATATTCACATTTGTTTATTTCAGTTCGAGACACATCAAAAGACTGTTTGCAGAAAAAGTGGTTGCACAGTTCGATCCGGCGGAAAAGGCTCCGCTGTTTGATCAAGCTCTAAAGAATCTGAGCGGGCAACAGGGATATTTCGCTGGAGCGAGAGGAGCGAGAGGAGGAATCTGCTCCTCACCTGGAAGTGGAGGGAAGCCAGGAGCCAGGTCAGTCATGGAAACACAAAAAGTGACACAGAGAGGAAGCTGACAGTGACGCCCGTCGAAGTGCTTGTAGAAACGTGATTGGGTGTTAGTAATCAGCTGGTGAGCTAATGATCCTGTTAGAGAATGAAAATGGATCCGCACCCATATTCATGCATTTATTAACAACTTCATAGACTCTCTTCTGATTTCTGTATTTATAGTCATGCTCCTTCTAATATGTTAGTGTTTTACCACCCACTGTTCTGCCTGTGGCTTACTCACACTGTACACAACACTCGCAGACTGCTAGTTCCCTGAGAAGTTAATTGAATATGGAGATGGAATATAAGTACTGATGATTTCCAGACCCTAAAGCAAAGTGAAACAATCTTCTGAAACACAATAATGAAAATATAACTGTGTATCCGTCTGTGGCAGAAAATAAGGAGAGCAGGATATTCTCTCCATGGCCTCCAGACTTGCCTTGAGGATTTTGAACATGTTGTCAAGTCTGGCCTGAGAACATGGAGGTCTAACTTTATCTCTATCTGGTGAACGGTGTGATGAATGACCAACAAACGGTGATGGAACAAAACGTACGGAGGCTTATCGGACCTCGACAGACAGAGACGGAGGGAGAGCGTGAGATGTTCGGACGCCCATACGAGCTCTGTCCGCTCCCTGTGTGAACTGTGATCTTGTTTGCCTCCCTCCCACGCACACACAGACACACACAGACACACACAGACGCACACACACACACACACACAAACACAAACACAAACACACACACACACACACACACACACTCTCAAACTAGGATGGGCTCGCCACAGGCTGCATCACGGCAAAAACACTGATTCTGTTCTTTTTTTTTCTCCACATTTCAGAAGCAAAACAGCTGCAAAGCACAAAAGACTGACTGACTGAGTAAATATTTATTGATGCCACGTGGAAAAAAAAGTCTCAAAACATCAACGTGAGCTGATTCGTGTTAGGATGGTAATGACTGCATCGTCAGATCACCTCAGCGCTGATGGGAGGTGCAAACTAACGGCGGCGGTGGCGGTGAAGGCGGAAAACACGACCGCTGCACCAACTGCAGCAAAAACCTACAGAGCCTCCAGCCAGCGCTGCTGTTTGCTTTAGCCGAGCCTGCACAGCGAGCGCTGCATCTCCTCCGGCCCCGTCCCTGCTGCTGAATTATTGAGATACAGAGCACACGCACCGAGAAAATGAGCAAGAACGAGAGGGAATGAGTAAGCTGGCACGCAGAGAGGTACACGCTGCAGTGTGAGGGGGTGTTTGCTTTTTTAGAAAGCTTTTTTAGAACAATTGACATTTCAAGGTTCTTCAGCGGGTTGACTGAGGTTGTTCAGATCAGCTCCCGACTACAGTCAGCGTGTCCGCACTGCACTCTGTGACTGCGGATACTCAGATTCAAAGTTTGACTAAAAGAGAACTATTATGATCATTTCCAGCTCTGTATTTTTATTCTGGGACTCCACTCCAGCAGCTTTGCATCATTCACCGTTAAAAAAAAAAAAAAATCTCAAACTGCCTGTTCATGCAGCAATATCGGGAGCGTGTCTATGTTCCCACAGCCCTATGTTAAGAAATATGGGACCATAGGGTTTCCTTTTGAGAAAAATCTTAGGCCTTGTCCACATTAACCCCGGTAAATATAAAAATGCACATTCACAATGAAAACGATCTCCATCCACACTAATCGTTTTCAGAACGCTTTACATCCACGTTCCACGGCGTCTTCACATTTATCCACCTCAGCGATCGTTTTTGTAAAGCATCGTTTTCAGTTTCGGAATTCACCGTTCTAATGTGGACGGAAGGGCTAACCGGATAAATATTACCTGGGTTAGTGTGGACATGGGCTTATGGGAACATATAAGACTGTGGGAAAATAGGGCCTAATTTTCAAAACATTCTTAGAAATGTGGGAACATAGGGCTGACCCCGCAATATCAGCTCAGGCCGAGCACCGTCTCATTCTCTTACAAGTGTGCAGGTTCTGAAAGCAAACTGTAAAACTCAAGTCACAGAACATAACTGATTGGAAATGAGAACTTGTCACATCCATTCGTACATGTTTGAACCCGAATCTGATCTGGAATACGGGAGTGGACAGCAGCGAAGGTCACAGCAGGACCTCTCTGTTGGGTAAATATTATTATAATGCTGGATTTAGTCTTTTGATTACAATCTGTATATAAAACACGCCACTGTTAAAGCGATAGTTCGGATTAATTGACGTGGGGTTGTGTGAGGTACAGTACCAATCTACAGTCAGTGTTTTAAGCCACCTGGTCTAGATATGGGCGCTGCAGTTCAACGGTTCAGGAAATATATTTCCAAAGGAAAGGGCTGTTTGATGGTAAGATAAAGCAGAGAAGATCTTTAAAACAAAGCTAACACGAACTGATTTTTTCGGTGGACTTCTTTTTTTTTGTGGCTCAAACACATTTTTGCTGCTAGTCTTCCGTGCCGGTGCTCATAACGCTTCTCCAAACTTTTGGCACGCCGAACCCAATCTACTGCAGGTAATACACTGACTATATATGATAGCTACCTCACACGACCCCACGTCAAATAATTCAGAAAAATGATCATTCTGGTTTATTACAACTTCTTATACTCACCAAGGAAAATGTGTCTACCTGCTTATTCATGCATCCCATCAGCCAATAATGTAGCAGCAGTGTGACACATAAAATCTGGTGTTCTTTGTTCTAATCTTGTTCCTTCAGGCGTTTCAAAAAAGAAAATGAAAGTACCACATTTTACTTTTTACGTTTATATAAATTTTATTTTTACTATCGCAAACTTAGTTAAAATAACAGTACATTTATTCAAATAAAATATTTTGCTTCTCTTTCCAGCTCTTTGAGGATGAATGCAGCTCCGCTGTTCAAGTTGTACATCCACACATTTTGATAACCTGCTGTAGGTGTTGACATGACAGCCGTAATCATCACTGTGTCTCCTCACTCTGGTAATAAATACTTGTAGGAGGACGGATGCTTATTGTCCTTGCTCACACAGAAAGTACAACAACTCCAAACTCAGCAAACACCTCCCAACCTGAGTGACAGAAGGTACTTAGAAGAAAATGATAGAGCAAGCCAGGGAAAAATGAAAAAGAAAAGGTTATTATCGGAAAGCCGAGCACGTCATTGTCCTTCCCGAGGACGCCTCCTCTCTCTCGTCTCTGGCTGGCTAAGCCAATAAACATCCAATTCTCCCCTGGGTTTGTCATGAAAGCGGCTCCTGATTGCGCTCTGGGAGCGGCTAATTTGTCAATTTATGGAGATGGAAAAATCTCTCTCAAGGGTGTAGGAGACACGAAGGAGGAACAGATGAGCTTTTGCAAACGAAAAGCCCTAAATTAGTGCAGCAGTGTGGGCGGTACAATTGTGGGTGAGAGCAAGGACAACGACTGTGAAGTGACAGGGGCACTTGACCTCGTGAACCCTGGTTTTACCCTGTTACACTGCTCCTGATTAACTTTTAAGTGAGGGAAACACACTTCTCCACTCTGTGTGACAGTGTCTCAGACGCGTTACCTGCTTGTTGAACCACTTTAAAAAAGCCTGTGCATTAAAGAGTCGGTTCAAAACGTGTTTCCTCGCTTTCCTCTTGTGTCATCTAGTCGTACATACCACTCCAGATTCACTGTGTGGCAATTACTTAATGTCACATTGTCAATCTGTTTGGCGATACTGTAAACACCACTGAAGCACCATATGAGCTGAAATGATAAGGGGTTTAAGGGGACCTTGTTGCACGAGGAGCCCACATCTCTTTATTGATCCGGGGCCTCATTCCAATACTGAGTTTATGAATCCAGATTTCCCAACAGAACACCGCACACATAAAAAGTTTCTGATGAAGCAGAAACCAAAACCTTCAAAGCATTTAAACATCACAAATTATTAGTAGGTTGTGCATCATTTTCCTTTAATTAAGCCTGATATATTTGCTATTTTCTGACTAGAGAAAAAACTTTTTGCTGCTTTGAACAAAGCTTGGTCATTGAACATACAGATGTGTGACCAATCGAAAGGAGAAAACACCTTAAAGTGTGTTAGTAAGGTGATGTTGCAAGGTAATTGTCCAGAACAACGTAAGTGTGTGGGATCTTTTTGTGAGGGGTTTTGTTTTGATTGGTTGTCAGTTTTGTTTTGTACATGTGTTCACGTGGGGACAGCACGATAAGAAAGGTGTGTATTTAATTTGACCATGTGTGTTTCTGGCTCTCCTGATATGTTCCGTTATGTTGTTTCAAAATAAAGGGTTAGGGTGGTGGAGAGCACAAAACTTAACCTTAACACAGTGTATCTGCTGATGCTGAGTATCAATCCAATGTGTGTGTGTGTGTGTGTGTGTGTGTGTGTGTGTATGTATTCACCGCGGTAGTAGAAGAGGCACATGTCTGACAGGACGAACCACCTCTTCTTCCACAGCTTCATGCCTGTGCTGTCCTGCAGGGGTCAGAAATCACAATGTAGTAATTACAGAGAACAATACACCTCTCTCTCTCTCTCTCTTACACACACACACACACACACATATATATATATATATATATATATATATATTCAGTGTGTTCTGTTTCAGTCTTTTCCCCTTGTTTGATCTCCCTCACTCCCCTCCTCTTGACACCCTCTCTGTCTCTCCCTCTGGCTGCTTCTATTAACCAGCTTCTATCTCCTCCTCTGAGACAAATTGCTTTGTTTTATCTCTTCATAACGCGGTGACAAATTTGCCTCTGTGGCGCTCGGGGCGAAGGTCTGTGCTTTGTTCTCTACACTGCTGCTGCGGTTCGTTTTTCTTCCCTCCTTCACTGGCGTCGTATGACTGCAGCGACAATCACACGTTTTTTTTTTGTTTTTTTTAAGACCATTCGCTCGTCCCACTCGGGCCTGTAGCTCTGTTTTGCACTGTGTCACATCCAGCCACAGATCCTGAGGTTCGGCTCTCTGGGTAAACACTGATGACATTTCTTCTGTGAGTGAGCACTTTGCCTGACAGGTCTATGGGGAAAAGAAGGGGAAGGGGTTTGCTGGTGTGAAGTGAATCAATCCTTGTCTCAGTGTGAATACAGTGGAGGGGAGGCTCAGGGGCTCAGATGGAGGTTATTGACAGTGGCTGTTAATGGGGTCTGGAAGCCGAGCTGAACAGTGCTCGATGAAGCTGTCTTCAGGGGAGTGTGTGAGGGTCAGAGGTCCACAGACAAATTGAAAAACTGACCCACAGTGAGGTGAAGAGAAACGCTCAACCTGCAGTGAATGGATGGAAAGCTAATGAGAGAACTAGCTGAGCCTCAGGCTATGTTAGCTAAACTCCGTATTCACATTTCATCAGGTTTTACAGTGACTGTGGCATTAGAAGACCACTGACCTTTACACTGTCTGTTAGTTTTCATTCATTCAGCCTAACGTTGTCATGTTAGCTGATCTCTGTTTGTTTGCAGCGGTTGCTAGGGGTAGTTATCTTAATCACAATAGTTTTTCACAACCTTTGGTGCTTTGATTTGACGTTAGCGAGGCTAAAATATTTATAGCCTTAAAGGTCCCATATTTTACACTTGCTCCGTGTTTTATTTGACGTGTTGATCCATAAGAAGATATATTTGTGGTTTCAAACCCAAAACCATCTCAATGTAGTTTTACATCTCCTCTCTCAGGCTTCTCTCTGGAGCTCTAGTAACAGGTCGGTGAGCCAATCAGAAGAGAGGAGGCTCTGACTCTCTCCTCTTTTCTGAGTGATCCAATAGAAATATAGCAGATTTCAGGTAAACATTTAGAGAAACCAAATCCTGCAAGGTTGGATGTTGGGTCCAGGTGGGTGGGACTGTGGGCATGATTGAGAGCTTTGTTGTGACATCACAAAGTTACAGAAGTCCTGACGGCTGGTTTTAAGGGTCATTTTCTGAATACAGGCTGTGTGCATTTCTCTGTGGACTGAGCGCTTTGATACTTTCACAGTAATAATACAGAACCTAGACCTGCTTTATAATCAAACAACACATGGACATCTCACTTTCTACAATATGGGACCTTTAATGAGTTATAGAACTACAAACAAATCCCTACTAATTTCAAGATGCTGCACACAGTCACCACATTGCTCCAGCATGTCCTCCCCCTAAAACCTAAAAAGCGAGGCTGGATGTTTGTTGCCTCCAGTCTCTAAGTTGAACTAACCATGTCCTGATTCTAGCTCAGTAGTCATGTGAGTTATCAGATTGGAGACTGTATTGTAATGCCTTCCTCCTATACCTGTTTGTAAAGCCAGTTGCTCTTGACCACCGGGGCATTGGGGTTCCTCTTGATGGAGTTGGACCTCTTGCCAAAGTTGTGGACTTTTTTGGAAGACCTAGAGGGCTGTGAAATGATAAAGGAGAGAATTATTTATAAATATATATATATACGGTAAATTCAGCTCATTTACATCATAAATATTGAAATGCACATATATGAATAAATAAGTCACACAGAAGAAATTAAAAAAACCTTTATCAAAAAAACAAGAAAACAGAACTTAGTATTCATCTCCAGCAGAGCAAAGGCGGCAAAGAGACAGACAGAGAAAAATAACCCACGAACTCAGCTGTTCTCCCCTGATCTCAACACAACAATCTGACAAGACAAGTGCTCTGTGCATCGGCTGTGAAAAAAAAAAAAAAAAAAAAAAAAAAAGAAAAGAAAAGAAAAAAAAAAAAAGCCTTAGCGCAAAAACAGCAGCAGCACCTATAAAAAGCAACAAGAGAGGGAGATGTATTCAGCTCATTAAACACAGCATATTCGACATCCCCCATACATCAAGGCTCGCGTACTGAAAAGTGCAGCAGTGTAGCATAAAATTCTCTTTAATGTCAGTCAAAAGCACAAAGACAGAAGCATCCTGTGAATAAGTCTAAATTTAATGCAAATCACTACTGAACCATATTCAGTCATCATGTGATGATTGTATTGATTAGAGTGAAGAGTGATGTTTTGGTGACCTCGTACCTTTCCTCTTACACTAGAGAACATGCATACTCCCTCCCCACTTTCTTTGTTACACAACTTTTCCTCTATAGATAAAATGTTTAAGCCGGACTGCCATGAGATTTGCTGTAGGTAATTATGGCGCAATTGACTATCCATACAAAGTTTCCATTAGCCCACAGGAAACCCTGTGTCTGTCTGCAGTGGTCGGACCTGTTTGCCAGCATGACCGGGGCTGGGCCAGAGCAGCGACCAGCGACGACTTTGTCTCTCCCTGCACATCTCTGCATATTTTTGTATTTGGTTGGTTTTGTTGTAAATTAATTATTCTTATGTGTCTCCCATTTTCGCTGCAGTCCAAGAACTGGATTGTGACACTACGAATTAAGATTCTAGACCAGATCTAGTTTTAGGGGAAATGGATTTGCTGGCTGTGTTATGTTCACTGGCAAAAAAATGCTACCTCCACTGGAGTGCAGCATGTCAGTAGCTTTGGGTTTAGGTTGCCGTTGCTACTAACAGATACTGTAAGAGGAGTAAAGAAACAAGTTGTAGTTGACCATGTTGGTATAAAACCCTGGGCATGGATGCACTGCTACAACAGCCTTCATTAAAGAGCCTTAATGAGGTCGGGGATAAGGTCTGGCACAGGTGGTGTATCAGTTGATGCCAAAAGTGGTGGATGGGGTGAGGTCACAGCTCTGTGCCAGTCAGTCAATTGCTTGTCCCTGCTTGTTGTCATTATTGTGGCAATTTAAGAAAAAGAAAACACAAACTAAAATATAAAAAATATGCTCGAAATGCTTCATCTTTCCTTCTTCTTCTACACACAGTGTGTGTCGTTTTTTTTTTTTTTAAATGTTTCTCTGGCAAGTCACGGAGCTGGACCCACACAGCTCGGCTATAAATAATGACTTCTCATGAATACGTGAAGCTATGCAGTGTTACACTTCCTTTAGACCAGTGTAAGCAGAAGCGATGCATCAGTTATTCATGAAGGCACCGAGCTTCTGATTTGATCCACCCGTGCATATTTATTTCCTGTCTGTTTGTGTATTTATTAAGCGTTTATACATGGGCACGGTGTTCAATCTAACAGCATGGTGACCCATTTCAGGACAGTCGGTCAGTGCAGAGGGCCAGCGAGTTTCTAAATGTCCTGAGGTGGAACATTATTGAAACAACAAATCAACTCCTTCAGGGGCGTTGGTGCCTGCACTGATGGTTAATGTTGGTGTGCATCACTTCCATTCATTCCATCAGTTATCAATTCAGTGCTCTAAACAATGAAGGCAAAAAAAGAAATCAATCAACAATGCAGTCACCTTAATGACCATATAGGTTGTTTGTCCCTACCCTTTCATACAACACATGGCATACCAGACCTTTGTCGCCATGGTTACAAAATATTACTTTCCACAGTTGTGGAATGGTTGTTGTCTCCTGTGTTTTGTCGACTCATCCATCCACCCCCACCTCCTCCTAATGCAGACTGCTAAACTGGGGCCGTAAAGGGATGCACATGGTCAGCAACAATACTCCTGGATAGGCTGTGGCATTCAAACCATGACTGATTGGTATTAAGGACTGAAAGTGTGTCAAGGAAACTTTCCCCACACCATTATACACCACCACCATCGGCCTGGACTGTTGACACAATGCAAGTTGGGTCCATGGATTCATGCCGTCGACGCCAAATTCTGACCCTGCCATCTGCTGTTTCAGCAGAAATCCAGATTCATCACATCAGGCTACGTTCTTCTATTCTTCAACTGTCTAGTTTTGGTGAGCCTGTGTCCACTGCCGCCTCAGATTTCTCAGTGAAAACTCTAGAGACTATTGTGTGTGAAAATCCCAGGAGATCAGCAGTTTCAGAAATAATCACACCAGCCAGTCTGGCACCAACAATCATGCCGCTGAGATCACATCCCCCCCCCCATTCTGATGTTTGATGTGAATATTAACTGAAGATATTTATATATTATATGTAATGCCAGCCTGCTAAAGGCACTAGAGGATAAGTTAGTGGATCACCGCTACAACTGGCTGCTGGAGACCCTAAATGAAAATCCAGAGGATCAGGTAAGTCATTAGGGTTTATCTTCTGAGGACCATGATTACCTACCAGGTTTAATGGTAGGCCATCTGACAGTTGTTGTGCTATTTCATTCCAAACGTTAGATGTCAAAGTTATAGAGCTTCAGTTATAGAGTTTGCAGTATTCTTCCTCTTGGGACAATGAATGTCTGAACCACATTAATGACAATGCATCCAACGGTTGCTAAGATATTCTGGTCTGAACTAAAGTGGGCGACCGACAGACCAACACTGCCATACCTAGAGACACGTGGCTAAATAATAAAAGAAGCCCCCCTCCCATGAAAAATACAGTATATCAACATCGTATGCTGTCAGCCTCCTCTTCTTTACCCCTGTCTGCCAAAGATGTTTCGTAAATTTAACTTTATTAGATAAGAATAAGGTCATAACCACATGCATCGGTTTAATTATTTTGAGCCCTGATTTAGAACAGTGATTAAATCTCTCATCAGTAAGTGTGGATGGAGACTGACCCGTGTGGAGCAGGTGGAGGTGGTGGTGCCTGTGGTGACCGTGGTGACAGGGCTGCCGGGGAAGGTGCTGTAGTCGGAGCCACCCGTGTAGTTTGAAGCCTCGCTCATGGTGCTCATGGGACGTTCCTTCTTGTCAGTGCTGCTGCCCTGCTCTGATGAACCCTTCGGAGCCGGCCTGCCACAGGGCGAGAGACATAGAGAGACAAAGAGAGAGAGGGAGTCAGTCAGACGCTTGACCTTTATATATGAGGAAGGTACAGTAGCATGCGACACACAGGAGATAACAGGTGTGACCATGACTTCAGCCATCTTCACCTTCAAACTGACTGTAACAGACACACGATGAAATCAGCGAGCATCAGTCCGGACTGTGGTCTGTCCGCAGTTCACTTTATGCTCTGCTCTCTGGAACTGCTGACTGTCAGATCTCAACACCCATCTCCTTTCACAGTAAATCTTATTTTGTCAAACTTTTCCATTTCCAAGGCTGAGAAGAAACTTTCACATTTTAACTTTTTTTTTTTTTTTTTAAAAACACTTTTCTCCTTCAGTTCAGTTCTTCCCCTGAAGAAAAATGACCACATATCTGAGACAGATACAGAGTAATATGTGTGGTCTGGCGGTTCTAAATAAAAAGATGTACAGTCTTGTGTTAGATTAAAAGCATTAAAAGTGCAAATGTAGCTTTTAACTTCTTAAAGTAGGAGAAGGATATCTGGGACTGATGAATGAAAATATTTGATGTATACAGAGACACTAGAAGGATCATGGGAGCTCTGTATAGCTGTGTCCCAATTCAGAGGCCGCATCCTTCAGGGGATGCGCTCTACAAAGGTGTGGCCCTTCATAGCCTTCGTAGACAGCGAAGGCTGAACCGAAATGAGACGGTCTGGTCTACGGAGGATTTCCGCTTTGCACCACCAACCGTTGAGTCGCAACGCGTTGTTTGCTTTCATGACCAGCGCACAATGAATCTTGGGATATGTTGGACCTACGAAGGATCCACCCATTGGAGTCTTGGTTGCCCAGGGAAAAGAAGGTTACATTTGAACGAGCCTTCGAAATAGGATAACCACATTGTGCTTATGTGACGCAATCGGTTTTCACATGCAGCCTCCAAAGGATGAAGTCCCAGATATGGGACACAGCTTTTATGTATGCTGTATAGATCTGGAGTCAGGCATGTCCTCTGTGGTGCTGGGGTTCTGCTTTGTCTCCTTATCTATTTGTGATTTTCATGGACAGAACCTTAAAGGCCAGTTGAAGGATGGAGAGAGTCCAGTTTGGGGACCTCGGGACTGGACCTGTGCTTTTTACAGATGAGGTAATTCTGCTGGAAAATGGTCCCAATGGTGGGACTTAAATGAAGGACAGAAAACGCCTGGATGGAGGCTGAAATGTTTTCACTTGCCCAAAAGGAACCATTTAAGGAGTAAACTCTGATTGTGCCTGAAATACAAAGGTGGTGGGTACAAATGTGCCCTTGGGTGAGTGAGTTCATTGCAGGTGGGTGTGTATATGTGTGTGTGTGTGATCGTATTGTAACCAGTTTTGTTACCAGGATGACACAGTTGTTGCTAATCTCTAAGAATCTGTCTGAGTCTTTGTCCCCCCCACCCCCCCCACATCTCATCAGGCAGACCCTGTCTTCACTCTCTTAATGACACCCTGTCTCTGTTCGGGCCATTAAAGAGAGGGAGGATGAGGGCTTGAATGAGAGGAAGGGTAGAATGGCTCGAATGGGCGCGAGCTGAGAGGATGGCCGCAGAAACTGAGATAAAGAAAGTGAGAGTGAGAGACAGCGTGAAGAGAGCTGGTTGTATGAATCACAGCTATTATTCTCCAGGCGTCACCTCTGATATACGCCTCTACGTTCAACCAATTTAAATGGCCTGCCAACTTGGCCTGACAAATTGAACCAGCTCAAAGTTTTTTTAGCCCAACAGAAGGACAATAGCTAATGCGAGAAAAAGAAGGTTCAAGGTCCCTGAGTCTGATTAAAACCACCACGCAGTGACAGCTTTATATCCCCTGCCAAGGTCAGCAGAATATAAGCAAAGCAAGTCAGTGAAACTCAAACCGAAATGGGAACAAACACTCACTTCTTATTCTTACACACACTCATAAGAAAGACTCTGTGAAGCCCAGTTTGTATTGAGTGGGATCGGTGTTGTTATTATTGTTGAGAGAGTTTTTGTTACTTTTCATACTGTTGAATGAAATTAAGTGTTTGTGATGGTCAGGCTGTTGCCGGTTCATAAGATACAGCTGAAGAAAGCCGTTTTATCGTATCCCTGAGGGGACGATCAGGTAAAGCAAACATCTGGTAGGCTGTTCAATTTCTGTTTGATAATGCTCAGGTATAACTAACCAGAAGCAATCTGCAGGCTGAACTATGTGGGTGGTCGCTCTCAACATGAACCCATTCCACAGGTTTGGGCTGAGCCTCTATTTCTGTTTTATTTGTCAGTTTCATCTGCTTCAAATTGTGCAGCTTATAACTGGTATTTTGTTTTGTTATTTTACAGGCAAAGCTCCAGTAATCAATACCTTTATTATGACACTGAATCACACATGTGTTCAACCTGGTTTCCAGCAGCAGGAAAAAAAACAACCAACTGTACACCACCTGTCCAGCACCACACATGCAAACAAAGGGGATGACTAGCTGTTAAAGAGCTAAAACAGACCTCAAAAGGAGAGTAAATATTGTTTTGACAGTCATCAGGTGGCCAAAAATATAAATGCTAATGTTGCTCTTTATCTGTTGCATGTGTAAAGAGGCAAATTAGCTGTAAAAAAAAAAAAAAAGAAAAGAAAAAAAGAAGTAATTTAGCTGCTCCAAGACATCGACTCACACAGCTTTAATAATGGGCACAACTATAACTTTTTAATGTATTGGCATTCTTTGTACTACACCCTGCTAAAGGAGAAGCTACTGCTGCCAAGTTTAATGAAGCTTGGTCCAGAAATCTCAACAACTCTTGGCCAGACTGTTTCAGTCAGCTCAGGATGATTCCTTTGATTCTTGGATAATAACTCCTCTCCTGTGTGAACTCTTGGAGGTAAGACTGATGAAATATGCAACAAGAATGGCTTCTGTGTGTTGGATATACAGTGTGTTGCAGTAACAACAGAACACCGTGTGAGTGTAGCAGTGATATCAGTTTACTGGCCACACTGCCCTCCACGTTTTGCTTCATTAGTTTGGACTCAGGTTAAAGTTTGGATGTGGGGATGTCTCATTTGGGAGGAAAGTTTTCAGGCCAGCCTGTCTCTTGACACCTGTGATACACCCGTACCGGAGCGTGCCCGAGTTCTCAGATACACGTACGCACTGGCCGACCGCACGCCCTGATAAAAACATTGGTTTGTCTCTCAGGTGTATTACCTGCCATTGTCCCACACTGGAGATCAGATAACCAGGGAGCTAGCAGCAGTAACGGCCCCTGGGTGAAAAACGGATGCCCTTATCTCTCCTCCAGAACTTTCAACTCTTGCTACCTGTCTTACCTGCCTTATTAACCCTTTATAACCCCATCACCGCCCTTACTGTTTCATTCTTTATCTTGTACCTCTATTTAAAACACAACTACTTATTATCACTCATCGTTCACCATACTGTACTTAAATACTGTACTTTCATTGACAGGCAAAGTGTAACTGCCGACCATTTCAGTGCCTTGCGGCAGATTAGCAGCTCTTCTATATTCCACCCTGACAGCTCTGATAATCTCCTTAAGTATACAGTTAGCCACATTTACATGTAGTCCCCTGAAGCAAATCAGAAAACCCCCAACTCCGCTAATCACGTCTCGACTAAATTCACATGGAAACTAGAAACATCAATTTCTTGATTGATACTTGAGTTAGTTTTAAAATGTGAAATTACAACTTGATGAGCTGATACATGTGTTCAGAGGGTTTAAGGATTCAGCGGCGTGGTTTTGACCAATCAGAGCTCTCCGCAGTGCAGGATATCAGACCTCTTAATGTCATGAATTTTTCAGAGGAGATTCTGTAGAGCAGTTAAGGCACTTAAGTCAAGTTAGCTTGTCACATTTAATACTGAGCTCTTAATAGGGGGTAAATGACTGGTATTAGTTAAGGGAGCTGCAGTGGTGAATTGGATTTATGATTAATTATGCCTTTTAGAGTCGTTTAGAGACTCGAGGCAGCATTCCTGGATTCTGCCAAGGGTTCCCCAGAAGCTACAGCAGGTCTGTTGTTCTAATTACAGCTCGGGTTCTCCTTTGATTCAGGACTTCACAGGGAACTTCAAAAAGTTGACATCAAACTGAATTTTCCTGCTCATATCTACACGTAAATACCTTGTGGAACATGTCTTTAAGCTGTTTGTCTGTGAAAATTCTCACTCATCCCGGGAATAGGACATCTTCGAGTTCAAAGTCAAAGGCAACTGGACTCGGTTCAAATCACAAGGCTTCTACAGTCTCATACATTTAATCTCTGTAAGGTCATTCACAAACCGTCAGCTGTTGACTCTGCAGGTGTCAGTATGCCTCAGACAAAGTGAATGGCATCCTGTTACACCTGTCTGATGTCAGAACCGGGCAAGGAGGCTGCATCTCACACATTTCTATAACTCTCCTGAACTGACAATCGCACACACTTCACAAAGAGGCATGGTGCACAACAGTGACAAAGTATCCGGGGTTTAAACGTCTCACTGTTTCCTTCTACACAAAACTGAGTAAAGCACCATAATTGTCTTCGAGGAGGGGCTGTCTGAGTCTCATCCCATCTTCATGATGCGGGATTTTACGTCAAGCGTGGCCATTCAGAACAGGTAGAAACTCTTCTGCCTTCTGACATCATCAGTCAAGACTTTCTAGAAACTTCATGCATAGCCAGGTCTTCAATGTGCCAGTGACTCTCAGTGTGACCTGAATGACTGTGAGCGACACCACAGAGGTTAAATCTGTACGTCAAACGCCTTCAAAACATTTACAGCAAGACCAGGTTCCTTTTCAGTCAGCACTTGTTAGATGTTGTGAGGCTTTTTCCGAAATGTTTGTGTCCCAACACTCATTTTCAGATGTGGTCCACACCATCAATGGTGGACAGCCGGTCAGGAGCACAGGGACATTTCCCAGTGGCCTGGGTTGTTTTAGGCTGCCCCCCTGAAGAGACCAGTCTTTTTTACACTTAATTACAAACGTGGTCCTGAGGTCTGAGAGAGAGAGAGACAGACAGAGAGAGATAGAGAGAGAGAGAGAGAGAGAGAGATAGAGAGAGAGAGACAGGGTTTCTGCCGTGAGTATCCAGCTCACTTTCGCCTTTAATAACATGCAGTTGCTAAAATGGTAAAAAAAAATAAATAAAATTTGAACATATTTTTTTCTTATATTTGTTGGTCAATGCCAAGTGTTTGTATTTTGAAATCTGGATAATTTTCCTTCCAGCTGAACATAGCATTACATCAACAAACAGAATTAGCCTACAACATTAGGTGGTCTGGTCTGGTGGCCTGTAATGGAGTCGAATTCCCAGCCTGAACTATTGTGTCTGTGCGCCCCTGAACACAACATGATTGCCTTAGTGCTGAGACTGTCCTGCCAAGAAAAAAAGACATGATCAGCACTTTTCAGCGAGTGCTCAGAAATGACATACTATGTTTAGGTGGACACAGGAATTGTGGCTCTTGAACAGTAATTAAAACTGTGTTTTGTAATGGTTTTAGGAGGCATTGACAAATGATGTCATACTTTCAATGGCTGCGTCAGATCAAAAAATGCTCACGTGTCGTTCAAGAGGGCAAGATGTATTTCGTCATCTCATTTCTTGATTCTTGACTGTGTATTCAGGGAGATTAACTTCCAGTGAGCTTTAGGTGGCTCAACGTAGCTTTTTAGCCTCATTTAGCTCATCGTTTTGGTTTTCTATCCCGCAAAACTCCCCTTCAATCTGTTCTGTATCAGTGAAAAGGCTAACTGTTGCAAAACTTCAAACATCTACCAGCTAAAGAGCCAGATATATTTTGGTCTGCACCAGCCTGAGAGCTGAAAGGAGAATAGATACTGGGTTTATGATAGACACTCAGCTCCAAATGAATGTTGTTCTGTGTCTGCTGGATTTATAAACAGGCATGACAAGAGAAAAACTTCCCATACACGAGGAGGCCTTTCTGCAGAGCAACACTCTCTCCGTCTCAGGTAAAAAACAAACACTATGTGCAACAGCCAGCTGATATTTTACTGCAGGGTATGAAACTGTATTGGAAGGTGTACGTCCGCGCTGCTGTGTGTGTTTCAATCTCTGAGACACCCACAGTGTGGGTTCAAACACACCCGTCTATTCACAGCAGCCTGGAAACCTCACAGAAGCGGATGAGCTCAAGGATCCGGAGTCAGAATACATTCATTATGAAATTTTTTTTTTTTTTTTCAGCCGAGCTGGCAACTTTCACATATATGAAGTCTCAGTGTGTGTGTGTGTGTGTGAGAGGGGGCATTTAGCCTGTAGAAAACTGAGACCGTGGCCAGAGGCAGATGTTCTGAGATTGCTCCCACTTCATGGCTGTCAGTGACACTGAACTGCCAGCCAATTGACTGTGAGTGAGAGAGGAGGACTTCACTCGTCTTTAGTAACAAGAGCCCCACATCTAAAGGACGGTGACTTACACACTCCACAGAAAATCGCCCACAGATCGCACAGCCAATCTGGTTCTCCCTCTCTGCCTTTTCAGTCCTTCCCTCTGTCTCATGTCGTCGGCCTTTTCATCTTTCAGTCGCACAGTTATCTCAGCCTTTATTAACCTTTCCTCCATAAACCCTTTCCTTCGGCTGCTCTGTTTATTCTTACTTCAGTGACTCGCTGATGAAACCGGTCTGTGTGAGCGCTTGCGATGCGGGCCGCTACACAGCCATATAAACAGGATCAGAGAGTTTTTTCCCCTGATCCATTTGTTTGCAGTTTGGCTTCCCCTGCACTATGAGCACCAGTGTTTATTTGCATTGAATGTGAGTGATGGTACTGATGACTCAGCTCCACATCAAACATGCATTTTTTCATTCTCTGCACTATCTTGCTTGTGGGTTCAGTCAAAGAGAATTGAGTGAAACTCAAACTGGAGCTTAGAAAACATCTGTGTACTAAGTGTTGCTTTACTGATGGTAGCTTAACTGCAATAGAAAAAAGTTATTAGAATTAATTAGGCTTGGGCTGCTATTCGATAATATCGAATATCACAATATTTCCTGCCATATGCAATATTTTCCATAATATCGCTTTTCTATTGATGATGTAAAATATTGCAATTTTCATTTTTTTTTTTTACTTTTGCACAGTCTGCCCTTTATTCAGAGTGCAACCCTTATTTCACTGCTTTGCTTACTGTACCTACCATTCTACTTTGCTGTGTAACAAAAAAAAATTTGAACTGCTGTTTAGTGGCATCATCGCTTATACCTGACACATAAAATACAATCATATTATTATATATTACAACACATATATTATGACATAAAACATCCCTTAGACCATAGACTGTGGTGCATGACGTCACCCACAGGTTTCTGAAGAGCGGTTTTGAAGCTCAATGTGGGGTGTTCCGCTGTCGCCATATTGGCAGTCCCTGACTCCGCCCCTAACTCCTGGCTAATCCAAAAATGGGCAAAGAGGAGGGGCATGTGTGGAGCCGAGACTTGCCGGTTTTTGACAAGCATACGCTCACCTACCTGTCACTCAAAGCAACATGCCCTCAATTAAGCATAACTTTAAGCCTCAATAAAATGTAAACAGGTGAGTTGTATAAACAGTTGTGCTGAAGGAGGAAATTAGCTATAGAGACCAAAATGTTTTTGTACCAGGCTGTAAACATGTTATTTCTACTGTAAAGTTGGACATTTTAACATGGGAGTCTGTGGGGATTGACTCGCTTTTGGACCCAGCCTCAAGTGGTCATTTGAGGAACTGCAATTGTAGGCACTTCTGTGTTGGCTTCAGTTTTCAGCCCCGGAGGACGCTGCTTGGGCTGGTCTGTATTGAGATATTCGATTTTGGATATCGCCCAAGCCTAGAAATAATTAGTGAAGAAATGAAGACAGTATTCGTGTGAAAAACAGAACCTCTGACCAGAAGAGTGCTGAGTATAACTTGACTCTGTAGAGATGGGTTTCATACTGACTTTATCAAGACAACAGGAAACAAGGAGAAAGTGTTGAGTTTGCATTGTCAGTAAAAAGTATCAACAGAAGAATAAAACTTTAGCAGAGTAGTAAACAGAGAGGCTTGCCGTGATAATCTAATAAAATATACTTGTAGAACTGGGGAATTAAAAACAAAGGGCTGTATATAATAGAAAGGCCTGGTGCTCTCTGCAGCTGAGGTAAATGAAGTGACTTTATTAAAAAGTGCTTTGTGAAATTTATTGGTTAAAAGAGAATTACAGATCTCCAACACAGATACTGTCCACTAGAACAAATTCCTGGGCTGAATTGCTTTTGCCTTCGCTGTGAAAATCATTTAAAGTCTGTTTCTCAGTAATGAAATTGTTTTGTATTTTATCAGTCTGGATTGGATCAATGAGACACAGTTCAAAGCTTTAGCTGGAGAGAAGAGCGTAGTAGCAGAGGCAGAGGTAATACAAGGAAAGTGGAAAGTTAGTTCCTAAGAAATTACAGAGGGTTATTTTATTCAGAGGAAACTTTAACTTTCCCTGCTGTATGCAGAGACACATTAATCATACACAATCATTTGATCATTAGGGTTGCACAGCGGCTCATCAGGAAGCTCACGCAGTCTAAAATAAAGTTAGTGTCAGCAAGACGCAGAAAAGAGAAGAAGAAAAAGGATCATCACACAGAGGAATGAAGCCTGGGATTAAAGCGAAATGGAGCAGAAGACAAAGCAGGGAGATGCATCCTGACGTTCTTGATGAATATTATTTGTTACGCTGTTAAGCAGCGGGAACACAGGTTGATGATACCTGGAAAGCGTGTTTTACCCTTCATATTGTACTGAAATTAAAGGAACAGCTTGACGTGTTTGCTGTCTTACAGGGCCGCATAAGAAGATCAGTATCATCTCTGTGTGTTCAGAGAGCAGAGGCGGGTTAAGAGGGAGGGGGAAACCACAATACTAACTTCACATGTTATGTATCATGCAGTGACAATCTAGTGGCAGAAGAGGACAGAATATCCACTCGCTCACTGGATGCCGGTTTAAGAAGGTGAGCTGTGGGTGATTTTTCAAGGGGATTTGCAGTTTCTGAGCTGCTGCCAACCTGTGAGAGCTAAATTCTCTGGCACTGGCTCTTGACTGACTCTGGCCTTAAGTACATGTTAAAATAATAGCATCACAGCTATAGTGTATGCCTCTGTGTGTCTGAAGTCTTTGTTGTTCCATCCTGGTGTTACTGACACACACAGTTTATGTACACTAAGCAGCCAAGATATAGCCAAGTTGTTAGTTTATTGACTTTCGTGTTTGCGTGTTTTGTTGGTCCATGAACACAGAATGTACTGCTTGCTATTATATAATATAACATGTTACTGAGATCAAGTTAGAAAGCGCAGAGCTCTGCATGGGAACGTCTAATCCACTACACTGTCAACAAGCTCTTGCTCATGGTGGGAATGTTGGGTCTCAGTAATAACATTAGAAAGAGTATGTGCTAGTATATGAAAAGTGGCCTCGAAATGACTTCTGTTGTGATTTGGCACTATACAAGTGAAACTGACTTGACCTGTATGGGAGACAGTCCTGGGTGCTTCCAACTGACAAACATTCGATGAACCAGCTCCTCGTTCTCGAAGTCTTCCCTCCTATAAAACGCCCTCTTAGAAATGTCCACGTCAGTTTTTGACTGTTGTGTCTTCTCTGCCCTTTTCTGGTGCGCAGAGCTGAAGTGGGCTTACTGACCCCCTTTATCGGGAAGTCAGAAAACACACACTGCAACCACGGGTGGTGAGAGCGGCTGCTGCAGTGGCTGTTGGTCCTCAAGTTGGCCGTTTCAGTCATATTTGAAAAACGAGCTTTGACAAGCCATGCAAAAGGTGAAATTCATGCTTTATTGGACTCGTTTGGAAAGGGTTTTAAGGATGAGGAGTCAGTTTGGCGAATGGGCAGCGCACAGCTTTTCTATAGGAAGCATCTCTTTCTCTGTATCTCCTTAGCAGTGGAAGAGACCGTCCCAAAAGTGTCCAGATAAAGTTATGAGGTATGTTTTTTTTTTAGCAGAGGGGAGATAGTGACCTAAAGCTTCTTATTTCTAAACCCGTTGATACTGATCTTCTCACCCGACTACTCAAGACAACGACCACATGTAGGTTCCCAGATGTGGAGCTGTTCGTTGAACTTACCCCCGGCTAACAGGACATACTGCATGCGGCACCTTCCAGGTTTTAGTCACTGACACTGTCGATAGCAAACTAGCGCTTAAAGCATGAGGGCTGATAAAGAAGCTGAAGCCACAGAAACTCTTCCAGTGATGTGAGAGTGACGTTACCTGCTGGAAGCCTCTAGGGCCGTGTCAGGGTGGACAAGCTTTCCACAATTCATGCTAGAAACAGAACAAGGGAGGGAGAGAGAATGACAAAAAAAAAAAATAAGAACTCAAATAAGGATGCAAACTTAAAATCAGTCATGCTAAATGAAATAAACAGTGATAGAAATCATATCATTAAGGATAAAGAATAAAAAAAGGCAAACATAAAACATTAAGAGAAGGAAGGTAGTTCTTTTTCTTGTATGTGTTTTTGTGGTCAAACAGAAAAACTTGTTGTTTTTGTAAACACCAATCTACCAGCGCCTCTCTCTGATTATTAATTCAAAACCACACTATTTACTCCATCAGTCACAGCTTTGATCAACCCATCTGCCCACCACCGTTCAGAGCCTCCCATTAGTCCAGTATCATATCTCTGTTTTTCTTTGTCTCTCTTGTCTTTCAGAGTTTCAGTCAGTCTTGCATGTCTGTCTGTTATCTTTTTTTTTTTTTTTTTATTGTTTTCCCATCTTCTTATCTCTCTGTTGTTTGTACAATCAGACAACTGAAGATATGTGAGCAGACTTAATAATTGAGTGAGGAGACATACGCCGGAAGCAGGAAGAGAGAGAGTGACAAGAAGATGAAGAGAGAGGGTCAGAGGAGCACGAAACATTTTTTAAAATGCCTCAGCCTCTGAACCTGCTAGGTTGGGGCGAGCAGTGGGCTATTAACAAAACATCAGGCATATGAAAAGAACAAGAAAGTAGTGAGTTGAATATATCACAAAAGAGGGGGAAAAAAAGGGAAACCAGAGAGTCATTAATAAAAGCACGAGCTGCAGAGGCGTACGGTACATCGTAATGAGTTAAGCGGAGGGAAACTTTCCCCAGGGAGGGAAAAAAAAGCAGCTTTCTGGATGTGGGTTTCAGGAATCTCTTAATTTAAAGTTGTCAGTGAGTGACGTTTGAATAGGTGAAGAGCTGTGAAGCGCTGACTCCCATTAAATCACCTCAGGCAGTGCAGGAGGAGAAATCAAATTTGCGATAGGGAGAAGTTGCTGGTCAAAAAAGAGTGAAGGAAGACTGAGACGCGGTGTACCAGGGGAAACTGAAAAATCCCACTCAAATCACAATTATTCATCCTTTTGTCATCAAAAGTCAAGCTCTCTTTTTTTTCATTCTTTACACAACGACTCCCACATCAGCTTTCCGAGTTTATGCCTCTGAGGGAGGGGGTTAAGGTTAGAAGGTAACTATCCATGTCAGCCATCCAACATCATCATCGCTCCTCTGCTACGAACACTTTCCCAATCGGTCAGACGATCTTGTAGACACTAGTTATTTTCCACCACACCACCACATTAGCATGCTAACAAATGCCAATTAGCGCTAAGGAGAAAGTACTGGTCAAAGATGGCCCTAGATGAAAAGTCAATGAAAAGGATCACCAGATTGATTAGAGTTCATCGTGAAGTGAAATCCACCCTATAGCTGTCCATATATTTCTGTGTGGGTGACAGTGGTGAACCAACCAACCAACCAACCAACCAACCAACCAACCAACCAACCAACCAACTGACCAATAAACCAACCAACCAACCATGAATGTTTGAAATCTCTGTTAATTCAAAATGAACAAAGGCTAATAAACAAACTATAATAAACCAGCCGACCAACCAACTGGCATTAACATCCCATGAGCCACTACCATGTGCAAAAATTAATATCAGTGCAATAGAGGCTCCAAAAAGGCTGAATACTACACTTCCTACAATACTTTTAGTGACTGGTAGACATTCCGCACCTTCAGCTAGTTACACAGGCTTTCTGTAATAATTTGTAGCCTCAAGGTCGTTTTCTCAAACAATATACAGTATGATGATGGATGGGGAAAGTTCAAAACAGCATGCAGCAGATAAACAGGAGGCTTCCACATAAACACAACCTTCCAGTACAACGCCATCACTTTCATTTCTATTACCTCTCTTTTACCCCTCAATGCTGGGTAGGGAGCACATCTGCGGAAACTGAGGCAGCTTTAACATCAGTCTCAACACAGGTGGTTTACTTCCTCAGCCAGTAGCAATCATTGATCAAGATGGCTTCAGCCCACGGGCAAGGCCAAACTGTTTGGTACATTTATGAATGCTTTCAGGTAATTAAAATAAAATTAACATGAATTGTGAAAATGCAGCATTCCAAAGTAAGGCTCAACATGTTGATCTGTTTCCAAATGTGACCTACTGATTGAGTCTCTGTATTTCACTCATCTTTTCATGAGACCAGACAGAAAGGAAGACATACAAACTTCCCTGGGTGTGAGCATTGTTCAGTCACTGTGGCGCAGAGTAAAGCTGGTTTTTAGCTGTTATGTAAGAAAGTGATCCACCACCATCTGCGGTGTGCTGGGTTGGATCTGAGGATCTCTCTGAGACCGAGACCAACATGAGCCTGGAGGGAGGCTTAGGGCCTGTGCTTATTTATTTTCATATTCATTTCAAAGTTTTAGAGGAAGGCAGAAGACGTGAAGACGCTTAAGGGCTCATGTGGCACAGAGACGCCTTTATGTTACATCAACTAAAACCAGCATGTGACGTGTGTTCAAAATACAGAGCACACATAATGATGAGGGGCTTCTGTCTCTTAGCTGCAGTTGTTAGAAAGCTGTGCACACAAATACAGCACATGGCTGAACGATTCAGTCTGTCGTCACAGCAAGGGGACCGACGCGGGAAACTCTATCAAAACAATGCAATAAAAGCCGAACCAGAATCAACTCTTTCTGCGACGCATCACTGTGACATGCAGCATGATGCTGCGTGGGTCTATCACATCCAGGTTCTGCATTCCTGGTAGAAGCTGTATCTCTGCTGATGATGGTCAATGATGATGCAGCTTTCTGGCGTCTGATGAGCCTTTGAAGGACTTCGTCTGTTCCTCCAACTGGACTTCTTGGATCCTAACTCCTTGTCTCATCAGTACCTTAAACAATATGGCCGCACCAGCACAGCCCCCTTCGCTGTTGTAATGCAGAGCTGTTTGCTCTCATGTAGTAAACTACTACCACTACTAGGCCTGAAGTCTGGTGTTCTACGTTTTGCAACAGTATGGTGCAACCAGTTAGCAATACGGTATGATTCATTTAGCGAGATTAGCTAAATAGAATCATCATCAGCCCAGAAAAGATGAAGCTGATGTTCCTCTCATTCTGTTTTTTTTGTTTTTAACTGATATGTTTAGGTGCAGAATTGCATTGGTCCCCCCCCCCCAGTGTTGTATCTACGGTTGCCGTGGTGACAAACAAGTTTAAAAAGCTCAGCCATCGACAACTCCAATAACGATTTGCGTTTGGCTAGACGAGGGCTCGCCCTCTCTCGACCCACTGGAGGCAACTGCCGCTGTCTGATAGCATCTTAATGTGCATCTGTTGTGGGCAGGAGGTTTTCTGGCCTGGGCAATGGGGAGCAACTTTTCAGTGAAATGAATGGAATATGGATGAACATGGCATCCGGCTTCATTAAACATTCCCTGCATGCAAGACTGCAGTTCGTCAGCTACCAACTACGCTGCATACACAACGTCTGGCGGAGAGTTTTCTGGCATTAGAATCATCATCGCTCAGTCGGCCGTTTGTCCTGTGTGTCTGTCCAGATCTCCAATCTCACTTCTGTTCGGGGGCCCATCACGCTCTAAGTTTTGGTGGATGTGAACAGGAAGTATAACATCGTTATGGAGTCAGCGAGTTAGCAGTGGGCTACGACTTCAACCCTGATTTTTAGCTGTATTGGTTTACATTTTGGCAAATTGTCCCCATTAAGAGTAGGCTGAATTAGCTATTAGCAGCTCCTGTTTGAAGTGTAGCCATGGATACACAGACAACTATCACTGGATTATTGTGATACCGAAGAAAACTTACAAAACAGGATTCTGTGGGAAGTTATGAGGAGCATCTTTTTATCTATGTAAGCAGACTCATGGAGGTTTATTCTTTTTTTAAAATTTTTTTTTTAAATCAATTCTTTATTCATATATACAAAACAAAACCAACACAACATTAAGGCTGGTCACACTGCACTCTCTCTTTAACCAACTTGTGAGCCACATCCCATGCCAGGAGATTCTTATGACTGGCTGCGTGCATTCAGGACCATATCAAGCCAAGAATCATCCCACTGTCACCAAGCCAGGGAATGTGGTGGCTGCAATCTTAAGGCCAACATTTTCTTGGCTGCTGTGAGACCAGCCCGTAGAACACATTTCTGTTGCAGAGACAAGTGTTAAGAAAGGAGTCATTGTCGAGTAGGAGCAAAGTCAGGTGAGAAGGTTAAAGTGGGACCTTAACGTCTAGCATATCACTTAGAGTAAGAGATATTTGTTTCAGAGTGTAACCCCATTGGGCACATCCCAAAACATATGCGTAAATGACCCCAGGGGAGATGTGATGGAGGTTTGTTCTTAATGGACATCAGATATAATGATGTCCTTGGAAAGTGTAAGTCACTGTGAATCTGAAAACATGTCTATCATGTCTGTGTGTTCAGATTTGGCTTAGTTGTTCCCTTAGTCCCTGCTGTTTTTGCACCTGTCTCTTTTACCTCACACAGTATCTCATCTCTCCCTCTGTGACCCCCATAACTTTTGTGTGGAAATTCATGGTTTCCCAGAGGAGGGTCCCTCGTGATTTTGGTCGTCACTTGTCCACAAGAAACATAAAAATGTTAAGACTGCCACGCGGTTTACTAACAGGTTAACGGTCACCACGTTGCCCTCTATATTTCGAACACAGCCACAAACACAAGGCATTTGGGCGTCTGCAAGTCTAATAACATTCATCATGCATGCAAGGTGCTCAGACTGAATTTTAAAAGCAGAGATATTCGGCTTTCACCCGCCATCTTCCAGCCAGTTTGGGCGGAACAAGGTGAAACTCTCATTAGCGGCATTGCTGCAGTTAAAACACCTTTCCTTCCCTGTTACTTTCTCACCCTCACTCTGCTCAACAAGTTTAAAAATACAAACCATGCACACCTCTCACACACACACACACACACACACACACACACTCCTCAACAGGAGCACTGTGACAGAGGAGATAATTGGGATGGGAGATGAATAGTGTGTGTGTGTGTGTGTGAGAAAGCAATGGGGAGTGAGTGTTTGAGAAAGAGAGAGAGGTGGTGGCACTGAGAGTGTGGCTCCACTGAACTTGTTAGCAGTAAAACGGTGTGTGTAAATGTGTGTGTGTGTGTGTGTGTGTGTGTGTGTGTTTGGGGGGGGGGGGGGGGGGTATCTCGGCTGCACACTCCGAGACGAGAACGGATTGAAATACCATCCTGACGACTCTTTTGGAGGTGGAGCGTGTAATTGCGGCAGTTTGTTTGTCTTTCTGAGAGGCCGCGGTCCTAAATTTCATCTCAGCAGCTTCATCCCGACTTTTTGTTGTTTTTCCACTTTGTCTCCCGGGGAGCACAAAGTAGTTTCTTTGTGAGAATCGAGTGTGTCGTCCGCAGAATGGATCCCATCGAGGAGTTGATGGGTTGGGAGCATCCAGCAGTCAGTCACTCCGACAGCGGGGGAGAGTGAGGGAGGGAAAACATTCAAAGAGATTTTCTGTGTCAGTTTGCGAGTCTGACGAAAAGCTGCCATAAACGAAACCGCAGAGAGAGGCAGGGAAACAAGACAGAAGAGGCAGAGAGAGGAGGGAGGATGGGTTTAAGAGGCAGACAGCATATGACAGAGGAAGAAGAGGGCAGATGCAGATGGACGTGTAAGACAAAGACATGCAAAGAAACTGTCTAATCAGTGGTGGCTGATCCTTAGTGAGTCACACACACGATCAGACTCTACTCCACTAAAATCCAAGATTTACAATCTGACTGTGCACTGCAGCGCTGCAGAATCTGCACACAGCAGAGCCAGACAGTCTAGAATCCAGGTCTGAGCAGGAGCCAGACATTAAAGGTCTCCTGAGTCATTTTTCTGACAATGTTCAAATCAGTTCATTTTTTGAAATCTGAGAATGCAGCAAAATCCCTACAAGCTAGTCCAAGAGGGGAAGACACATGAGCAGACAGATGGACGGACAGGTTGTAAACAAAAGTGAACGATTTCCTGGTTCATTAATCATTAAAAACAATCATTTCTTTTTTTTCAAAGATATATTTGGGCAGAATTCAGGCAAGAAATTTGTTTGTTTAAATTTTGTGAAATCATTCTCCTTACACAAGATTCCCAACACTTATTGATACACGCACGCAATGCATTCGTAATCTAGCCGACAAAGCAACAGCATTACAGTTACACTTAATTACAGTTTTGTGCACAAGACAGCCACGACAAAGAGACGAGGGACGAGGTTGTCCACAAACCAACTGAAACTACACGCAGCCGTAGTGTTGGGAGGGTAAAGGTGAAGCGGGAAGTCTGTGATGGGTGTTTGGGATCACTTGTTTCACTTACAATTACAGTTTGTCCAGGTGTGTTTACAACTTGTCTGCTTGTGTTTCTTGACCTTCTTGATCCAAGATCTCAGTAGTTACAAAAATAAGTTTCAATAAACTGTATAAATCTTTGTGGAACAGCGATTTGTGACAGTTTAGGAAGGGACTGACAAACGAGCCTTATTGGAAAGCTATAATTCCAAACTAAAGTTTTGCTTGGGGGACGTGATGCATTGTTGCAAACAATGTTTGTTTTTTGTTTTTTTCCCCGGATTTAACTAATGTTTACAGAAATACATCCCTCTGCCGGTTCAAATTCAGCAGCTCTTTAAAATACATGAAGGGAAGTGGGACACACATCGTTTGCATTTTACAGTTCTGTACAGTCACTAACCCACATTTCTCTGCACCGAGTTCACTCCTTCAAAACTCTGCACAGCGTTCTCTTTACCAACGTGCAGCTCAGCACAACAGTTAATGTCACAACCAAAACGCACTAATGCAACAAAAACACTTCATTTCACTTTAGAGCGTCAGAACACTGACAACATTTTTCTCCCAACAAGAAAACTTTGTCCTATAAAACACATTACAAAATGGATCACTACTGTCAGTGAAGTAGCTGTTCTTTACTTATTTGGCATGAACCCAGATTCTACTAGAACAAAAAGGACATTTCTTTATTGCGTGGATTGTGCTGCCTCACGGAATATGTTGCAGAAATGAATCTGAAAAGCTGCAGTTCTTCCAGTTTGGAGGTTTTTCACGTGCACAAAATGAAACTAAAGCAATTCCTGTGACATGGAACAAAACTATACATATTCACTATACATAAACCCTGTAATCTGCAAGTTCTCATCCACATCACACACCATGCCCTCTCCTGCAATACACCTGGGATCAAATGCCGTCCAGACATCCAGCATTCATTCATCTGCCCATGTGACTGGCGGTCATCAACTGTTCACCTGCATGAGGAAAACACTTACTCTGTGCGTTTGAACGTGAATTCATCCGATATAAACCTCCACAAAGAGTTTTGGTGGCGATTCAGCTTGACTGAGAAAGCGATCTGAAAGCTGTGATCACTGAACGCATTTTGTAATTCACAGTTTAGTCCACACTGACTTCTGCTGTGCTGCCTGATTGGAGAGCTCCAACACAATATTGAGCAGTGGGTGTTAGCAACTGTAAACAACTGTAATGCAGCAGATTTCTGTGTTTCCCATTGGACCGTGGGAAGGTTTGTCTCTGTGTGTGTCCCTCACTTAGATGTTTCAAGGCCTCAGTTCCGCGGGTCCGCCCGCGCACAATCTCATCTGCCGACGCGCGCACACCGTGTCCACAACAACGGATGTGCACATACTCGCTCGAGCTGCACTGTTCGTCCATGAGGAAGCTGTCACTGACCCTTCTGATGACTCTGTGTGTCTTTGATTAAAAACTTTTGCAGTTTGTGCTGTTTTCTACTTGAGTTCATGTTCTTCTTCTCGTCTTTCTAAATATGCTTATTTTCTGATTGTCTGTGCACGGTGTAGGAGTGTAGAAAAGGAGACACGCTCTGGCTGCAATTATGTAATTGTGATGGTTAGTAAACACTTGTCTACCTGCAAGTTTAATTCCACGTCTGCAGACTCACCGCACAGTCAAGCAAATGAGACCCAAGCTCAGTGTGTGTTGGTCTTTATACTAGTTTGTGAGTGACATTATCAGAACAGCAAGCAGACGCAGGACTCAAAACAGATTCTACTCTGATGACTGTGTGGTGAAAACCCCACAGAGGACCTGGGGGGGGGGGGGGGGGGGGGGGGGGGGGGGGGGGCATGTTGAGAGAACAGTCATGAGCTTTAACGTGACTTTAAGTCTTTCCTCCACACTGATGCGAAAACGAGCGGTGCTGCATGTACACTGAACTTCATCATTCACTTCTGAATATAGATGCTTACCATACGAATCTCACAGTTTCCCAGGTAGCAAAATAAATCCGGCCCATATTTGGGCCACACGCTTGTTTTCTTCTCTATACAGCATGATTGTAAGGCGCTATACTTCCGCATCTGGACCAATTTTCGCACACGCACAGAAAATTCCAGAGGATAACAGCCGGACTCTGGCCAGATGTGAAGTATATGGGCCAGACTCGGGCTGAGGGCCCAGATATATGATGGGCCAGAAGTTTCATTTTGCTGGGGTTCTGTTGAGATTTACAAAATATCAACTATGTGATCGCAACAAGATCAGAACAGAATTGCTATAATTTACCCCAGGATTCAGTCTCTAACAACACTATAATGGCAGAAAGAAGTGTTGAAGGCTGAAATAACAAGTACTATAACTGCTCACTTGTTCAGTCTAATGTAGCATCAGTACAACAACAACAGTCATTCTCACCACTCTGCTGCTCCCCCTTCATTTCTAAGACACAAATACTTTCATTCATTCACTCATTTTTTTCCATCTTCTTGTCCTTTAGTTTTTTGTCCTTCTCTTCCATCCATGTCAGTGTCAACAAAGAAGCTTGTCAGAGGAGCAAGTGAAATTCAGAATGACGCAGAATCCCAAAAAAGTGAAATGAGTGAAACTGCTGTGTTTTCAGGATGTGTGTGTGTTACAGTGCAGGGAGTCAGGCCTGATGTAAACCTAACGCCTGCAGCCTGCACCGACTGAGCCACAAGTCTGGTGAGAACTGTTATGGAAGATTAGCGTGGCTGACTGTCTGCACACTGAGCTGAACACTGTGTTTTTAGCCTGTAGCCTGTTTATTAGCATTTTGGCAAACCTGTATCATGAAAGGTCCTGCTGCTGACATTATCCTCCTGTTCACACCGCATTACTCTGCTGCTCGTAAACGAGTCAGAGTCTGATTATTGTGAACCAACATATTTATGGACGTTATCTTCCATTGACACTGAAGAGCCTGTCACCATTGTAAAGAGTGATGAATGAAGTGAGGTTTAATGAAGGGACAGCTACTTTGGGAATGCTGGATCCTAACTCATCTGAGTCATGCTGGACCTGAGAGCCGGCTCTGGTCTGAGGAGGCTTTTCTGGGCGTTCCAATATAATCACAGGCCTCATCTGTGCCTGCGGCTCGCCGCTCATACAGCGCTGTTCACATGCTGCCACAGCTGCATGGTGCAGCTGCAACAGGCGTTCAGTGACTGTCTACAAGAGTTTCCTTTGACGTTTCAAATCAGCGCAGGAGTCAGAAGCATACAGTGCCACCGTGCAGAGAGACTTACTGTTCATTCACGACAAAGATGCAGTTGTCTTGGGAGGGGACGCCTGACACCGGGTGCTTACAGGTCACCTTCCGCTCATTGTGACTGCAGGGACAGAGACGGAGAGAGAAGAGGGAGAGAGAGCATTAGATTAGTGAAACAACGTCAGCTGAAGACGTGGAGACACACTTGAAATCAAAGTGAAATCAGCTGGAAAAGTTCCACATGCAAATCATAAACCTTTAAAAAAGGAACAAACACTGTAAATCAGCAACAGCGCTGCAGCTCAGAATCACACGACAAACACACTCACACACACACACGCACGCACGCACGCACGCACGCACGCACGCACGCACACACACACACACACACACACACACACACACACACACCTGGAGCAGTGGGTGGTGCTAAACTTCAGCATAATGTCCGGTTTTCGTCTTAGGTGGAGGAAAGAAAAGTTCTTGCAGATGACAAGCATCTACAGTCCTTTCCAAAATAAAAGAAATAGAAAAATTCTTCCCAACAACCGTGTCCAGACCAGCCAACAGCAGACTGGAGAGTGAGAGAGAGAGACTACAGCAGCACAACAGTAGACTCTCTCTCTCTCTCTCTCCCTCCCTCTCTCTCTCTGCCACAGTGCCACTTCCTGTGCCCACTTTTTCTCTTTTCCTTCTGTCCCTTCTCTTTCTTCCTTCGTCGTGTTCCCTCTTTCCTGCTTTCATCATCTTTCTATCTTTTCTCCATCTCTTCTCATGAAGTCTGGAAAGTACCACCATAATAATTATATATTTTTACAGTGTCTCATTGTATTATGCATCATTAAAGTCTCTGAGGGAAAAATACAAAGATGGCTAAGTTTGAAAGCTCAGTGTTGATCATGAAAAAAGTAGTTTAGGCTTAAAAAAGAGAGAAACGTAACTCGGTTTTCTGTCAAAATAAAAGCATCATTGAATTTGCCAATTAATAATTAATATTCTCATCCCCTGAGAATTACTTTAAATGATAATGTGTTATAATACTATTAGAATTACACTGAAGAAGGATTTTAAATTTAACTCCACTCACTCATAATATATATAAGTAAGTATTTATTTATGATAAATAAATAAATAACTAATTAAAGTCCAAGCTTCAGTGCTGCAGTGGGAGCTCTGATTGGTCTACTGTTCTGTCTGTATATATATAGTTTGAGTTTATTAATACACACACATTATTAACATGTATAAATACAAATATAAATAAATATCATATTTAATCAATATCAGTTTTACATGCAGTTTAGTTATCCAATTTCTTATTGATTTTATTCCATTTTGGTGACACACGTTAGACTCTGTGTCTCTGATTCTTCTCCTCTGTCTTTTTTCTTCTCAGCTCTCATTTTATCATCACCTTTTCACTCTTCACCTCTGGTTCATTTCTTGTTTTTATTGTCTCTTCTTTCTTCGTCTCCCGCTTACATTTAATTTTTCTCCCGCTCATGCTCTTCCTCCTTTTCTCCCTCGTATTCACTCGTCTTCTCTCACCTACTCCACTCTTTTGTCCTTTGTCCTCCACCTCTGTCTCCTACTCACTCCTCCGATATCTCCTCATTCCCTCCCTCTCTCCCTCTGCTGTGTCTCTCTGAGTCACATGCTGCCTCACAAGAAAACTGCTGACTGCTTCACCTCCTTCAGTCTCACAAAACAGGTTCTGTTATCCACCCTGAAAACACCATGAGACAATGATAATGAAGTTAGGAGGAAACTTTGGAACAAACTAACACACACATTCACGTAGACTGTCAGTCTTCTTGGGCTGCGTTGGAAAAATAAGCCTGGAGTCTTTTTTTAGACTTAATTACAAATGTGGCCTTTTAGTCTGATTTAAGTCTTTGATTTATGAATTATAAACACAATTAAGTGATTGCATTTAAAAAAAAATATGGCTGCCACAAGCAAATTAATTAATTAGACCATGTGCATAGCTCGACACATTTAACACATATTTCTGCAGCAGCTTTTTCAGATTAAAAGAGCAGCAGTAAGACCAGAACCCTGTATCTCCTGATCCAGTCCAGAAGTGTAGTGTCCGTACTCTGAATTATTAATAATATAATAATAAAAATGTGCTTTATTATAGAATAATTCAAGTTTAACATGCATCACAAAGTGCTTTTTGCATAAAAGCGAAGAATTTGAACATTTGCAATAAAAAAGTGAGAAACTTTACTGGAATGAATGGGTGCCATATTGGAAGGTGGTATTTTCTTCAAGGTCCCATATAGTATAAAGGTAGATGTTCATGTGTTGTTTGATTATAAAGCAGGTCTATGTTCTATATTAACACTGGGAGAGTATCAAAGTCCACAGAGAAATGCACACAGCCTGTATTCAGAAACTGAGCCTTAAAACGAGCTGTCAGGACTTCTGTCACTCTGTGATGTCACAACAAAGCAGTCACTGCTCTCAGTCATCACCCGAGCCCCGCCCACCCGGACCCACCATCTAACCTTGCAGGATTCTGCTATATTTTTATTTGATAACTAAGAAAACAGTCAGCCAATCAGAAGAGAGGCTCAGAGCCTCCTCTCTTCTCATTGGCTCACTGACCTGTTGTTACTGGAGCTCCAGAGAGAAGCCTGAGAGAGGAGATGTAAAACTACATTGAGATTGTTTTTGGTTCTTAAAACCACAAATATATCTTCTTATGAATCAACGCTTCAGATAAAACATCGGAAAAGCGTAAATTAAGCGAGTTCTGGACAACTGAAGGAGAGAACTGAAGTAGAGCACAGCTTGAATGAAGTGAAAAAGCTTCCACACACTGTTTGACTTCCTGCTGGTTCAGTAACAGCAGTGTCAGCATGTTGTTGTTTCCAGGGTGTGAGGATTGAGAGAAGAACTCCTGTAACTCCTGTGTTATATTCACTGTAACACAGGCTGATCTTCTCAGTGTCTACCCCTCGAAAGTCACTCGAGTCACTACTTGATTTGGGAACCTCAATTGTGCGTGTCAAACTAATCAAGCCTCTTGTTGAACCAGCTGCATAATTTCCACTTTCAGATTTTACACCCCACTTGGTTCACAACAATATTCAATCACAAAACTGCAAAGTAATGAGAATAAAGCTGCAGCTGAAAAGTTGGATCAAATCCAGTTTCTGTACGCCTCTGATTGTATAGCATCTGCTATCAGCGGTTTATTAGGAACACCTAACTAAAATGAATGAAGTCTAATACAGCAGTGCTACAGTAATTCATGATAGTTATAGGGTTAAGTTTGTGTTGAAGCTGTTTGAGGTGTTGAAATGTGATCATTTTGGAGGTTGTTGAACTGAACTGCATTATACAGACAGGTGTTTCTATTATTTTGCCCACCCTATTCCTATCAATGACAATAGGCTGAATAACAGAAGTACCTCTCTGTATAATGCAATATTCATGTCACCTGAGTGAGAATCCTTAAATAAACTCGGCGGTCTCTCTCGGGGGTCAGCATGTGTTGGCAGCAGATGGAGGCTGAGCATGTACACTGTTTTTGCACCCACATCTGGGGATGCCAGATGTGCAGAAGGTGCAGGGAGTCAGGGAGGGAGGGAGGGGAAGGGGGCTTCTCTTGGCTCAAATCTAGCCAGCTGTGCAGCACCATGGCTGGGATTGCTCCGTCCTACATCCTACAGCTGGAGGCTGGATACTAAGAAAAACAAGAGAGAAACAAAATCTACCAGTGCACTCCCGATTATTCTCCCTCTGTGTCAAATACACACACGCACTTTTGACTCAAAATAATAAAGAACAGAACATCAGTCACATCCTGTGATACTGTGACATGAAATATTGTGTTTTTTAAAAAATAAAAAAGTAAAACACGAGTGAAGTTGAAGGAACAGAGGCGTATCTGCCTCCAAAAACAAGGCAGCACAGCTAAGGAGCAGCATATGATAAAAAAATGACATGTACAGTGAATAAACCATCGTGGCAGCTTTCAACAGGCTTTCATCTCCGACTTAAAGCAGCATTTCAAACCAGCAGCATCATTACGCTCAGTTTCAGGTACACAGCGAGACAAATCACAGCAAGGCGTCGAGGAAGTGGACTGAGCGGTGCCCTATCCAATTTTAACTTCAGTCACATCGCTGCTGCCTCCCCAACACAGCTACGTGAGACAGAGAAGATTAGCTGAGTCACCTTGAGTCATCAAAGACACAGATTCACTGATTCTATTCATTCATCCCATAAACACCAGGCAGATATTCACACATGGACAGCAACAGGCAGCAGGAAAAATGAAACGTAGCATCATGGTTGATGTAGTGCTTTTACATCAGATAAACCTGTGATCTTATAAATGTTGCTTTAAATATTGATGCCGATGGTCGCCCCCCCCCCCCGTGCAGAACAGCTACCCTGATAAATGAATAAATACTGTGTAAGACTAAAGGGCTTATTGAACATGCACTCATGTTGCCACTCGTGTCCTTTGCATGACCTTTTCCTCATTTACTATGTGGAAAACAGCTAAAACAAAACAAACTGGAAGCAGTCATCTGTGGGTTACTTCAGTCATCGGAACATTTTAATGAAGAGTTTAAATGGGCACCTCGATATTCAGGGAAATACACTGATTTGCTTTCTTTCTGAGAGTGAGCTGAGAAGATGGGGATCACTTTCATGTCTATGTGAGGCTGGAACGCAATTAGCTTAGCATTAAGACTGGAACCAGGAGGGAAAGAACGAGCCTGTCTATGTCTCAAGTTCAAAGATATACCTATTAACTAGGCTTGGGCTGATATTCAATAATATCGAACATTGCGATGTTTGGGCTGGACTGTATTGAGATATTACATTTTTGATAAGCCTACTATCAACACCTTATAATCCTTACTGTCCTGGTTGATTGTTTTTTCAGTTTAACACTAAAGCAAACAGTTCTTGGGCAGTTTTGTTGGACTTAAAACGGAGTGGGAACACGTCCTCCTGTTTACAGTGCAGCCAAACAAACATGTTCGTGGAGGCAATATTAATGCAGTGTAACGCAGGTTACTGTTCACACCCCTACAGTAAATCCAAACCCCCGATTATCCCAGGTCATAAATAACTTCAGGTTTGCTGTGATCA